CTCACTCACTCACTCACTCACTCACTCACTCACTCACTCACTCACTCACTCACTCACTCACTCACTCACTCACTCACTCACTCACTCACTCATTTATTTATTTGTTTGTTCTTTTATTTATTTTTTTATTTATTTATTCATTCGTTCTTTTATTTATTTATTCATTCATTTATTTATTTATTTATCTATTTATTTATTTATTTATTTATTTTATGTTATATCATCTCCTTTTTATTATGTTACACTATTCTTTCAAGAAATAAACAATGGACATGTAGATGTAAATAAAGAAAGATCCCAAAATACTAGTCAAAATCTGTACTGAAAAGTTATAATTTCAAATTCTGTATATTTCATTGCATTTAGAAAAAAAAACATCTTTACGTAGAAAAACGTTAAATTTAGATTTAATGTATTTTATGTTAACCATTAAATCTATTTCGAGATTAATCTTTCAAAGTTAATTTCAGTTTTATTACAATAAAATGACGTAATAAATTGTAAAATGTAGTACCATAAACTATACTTAAATACCATCGTGGGGGTAACCGTTAAAATTTGGGCTTGAAATACAATCCAGGTCTTGTGTACTTTAAATTGAAAACCCTACCTTTTCATACCTTTTGTTTACATTATCACGCGATTAAAAAAAACCTTGATGTTCTTTTTTTACACTGTGATTAAATTTATTCAAAATTTGATTTATTTGCATTTCTTAATCGATTTGCTCTTTTAAAAAAGTATTGAATGATGGACCGCTTTATTTTCATATTCATATTGTAATTAATTGCCCATTATGCCTCAGAAAAGCTATCAATTTTATATCTCAATACCTTTTATTTTAGTTATCTTAATATCTTTTGGTTGGTTGGTGTTGGTAGTTTTCACTCCGGATCACGACAGTAAGCCACATTAAATTCATCAGAGCACAGTTCAACCACCGCATCGTTCCTGGGCAGGCTGTCAAGCAGTTTACCAGTACTAGTTGCCTTCACTTTCGCAAGGAACTGAAACTTCTGTACATGCCAGAGCAGAGGTACAGTGCGAATGACTGTAGAAAGGATTTCATGATCAATCACAACAAAAGTGACCTGTGCCGTCCGGGAATCGAACCTGGGTCGCCCGATACACAGTCCAATGCTCTACCTATTTAGCTAACCTGGCGGCTTGACATATACAGGAACCTTTATTGCTACTTTTACTCTGTTCGAAACTGATATGATTATAGTGAATACGAATTTTGTATGGAAGTCAAATTACTACTTTGTTTACAGTTTGATACTTTTATTGCACGTTCAGACCAACTGTATTCAGTTGTTTAACATCTTACATGCCCTAAATATTTAAACATTATTAAACACATGTTTGCTATTGCTTATGAATTAATATACATTTATAAATATGGACATACTGTGCCTTAAAGCTACGTGAATGAATCTCCGTATTTTCGGACAAGAGCTTGTTGAAAACAGGTTTGTAAAAATGTTGTGTGTACTTTACTGAAAGTATAAGTTTGTGGGCTTTTAAAGTTCTAGAAATAAAAAAAAACAACATAATATGAGAGAGAAAAAAAACATACTATATGTATACCAGCTCAATAATATGCTTGAAATATATTGTACATCATACCATTAGGAGATCATGTGTTAAGCTTATGAATCCAGTACGCCTCTTTTAATAAGCGTTCCATATCATCGGATGAAATCTCTATAGGCATAGATTTTAACTCAATAATACATTGGTTACTTTTAGCCACATTAGTTCAAACTTGTTGATTCGTTCTAATAATGAAACTTTTAAGCTATGAATGAATGAATGAATGAATGAATGATTGAATGAATGAATGAATGAATGAGTTAACAAAATATGTGTAAGCTTTTTATTCATTTATTCATTCATTCATTTATTAATTTTATTTATTTATTTATTTATTCATTTATTTATTTACTTATTTATCCATCCACTATCCATCCATCCATCCACCAATCCATCCATCGAGCTTTTAAAATATGTAGTTTACCTTATGGCCCTCCATCCATCCATCCATCCCATCCATCCATCTATCTATTGCTGAAAATGCATTTTAGTAATGGGAAAATGGTGTGAGAAAAAATCGTATACATTGCAAAAGTTGCTTGTAAGTCTGTTCCATTCATTCAAAAAAATGGAAGTATTTAGTGAGCTTCATCCGCTATCCGGCTATTACAAAATACCTGTTTTTTAATCAGTCGTGCAAAACTATAGCACTCCTGTACAATTTATCATTGGCTTTCTAAAAATGGCAACAAATTTTTAAAACGCTTCAAAGAAGAAAGGTTTCTGATGATACATTATTTAGAGCAGAATATGTATCTTTACACACCCTTCATGCATTTAACATGAAGGAGAATCAATTTTGGAACGGATGTTTGATGAGCGTAAAGCTTTTTATTCGTAAAACGACTTCTCCCTGGTAAACATTCACTTAATGGCTTCTCCCTTGGAATGGAAATACCTTTCATCTGGTTGTAGAATTAAAAAGAGACCGTTGTCTTTGGTATATTTAGTATTCAATATTAATGAACTGAGAAAGGCAGGTCGATATATACGAGCGTACAGCTCAAAACTGAAGATAAGCATTTGCGTGCTGTACAACGATTTATTGATGAAAGTAACTAGACCGTGTCTGTGATTAAAGAAATGCGGACGAATGTCTTACTCAGCGAAAACATAAAACCATTCTAAAATATTGTCGTGAAAGAGAGATTGGTGTACACAGTATGCGATTCGTACCCGGAAGTGTTCTGTTCCACATTTCATCCGACTGGGCTACCATTTCACGTACGAATGTTTCAAATATTATGTTATTATTTTTTTCTTGAAACATCTTTAAATGTTTGTTTTTCTTATGTTATTGCACTTGTTTAAAACGTTATAATGTTGTTTATAATGATCATCTCTAGTAAATAAAATTTCTTGAGTCAAATTGCTGTAATGTGCCTCTAACCGTACTGCTGTATAGTGTTCCTTTAGCCGGATTGCTGTAATGTACCTCTAGCCGTATTGCTGTAATATACCTCTGGCCGTATGGCTGTAATGTACATCTGGTCGTATTGCTGTAATGTACCTCTAGCCGCATTGCTGTAATGTACCTCTAGCCGTATTGCTGTAATGGACCTCTAGCCGTATTGCTGTAATATACTTCTTGCCGTATTGCTGAAATGTCTATCTGGTCGTACTGCTGTAATGTACCTCTTATGTACTTCTAGCCGTAATGTATTGTACCTCTTGCCGTAATGCTGTATTGTACCTCTGGTCGCATTGCTGTTATGTACCTCTAGCCGTTTTGCTGTAATGTACCTCTAGGCGTACTGTTGTATAGTGTTCCTCTAGCGTTTAACTGTATTGTACCTATAGCCATATTTCTGTAATGCACCTTTTGCCGTATTACTGTAATGTACCTTTAACCTTTGTTTCTGTAATTTACCTCTTGTCGTGTTGCTATATTGTACCTTTGGTCGTAATTCTGTAATGTACCCCTGACCGTATTGCTGTAATGTACCTCTGGCCGTATGGCTGTAATGTACCTGTAGCCGTATTGCTGATTAAACTCTAGCCGTATTGTTGTAACGTACCTCTAGCCGTATTGCTGTCATGTACATCTGGCCGTATTGCTGTAATATACCTCTAGCCGTATTTCTGTTACGTACCTCTAGACGTATTTCTGTAATGTTCCTCTAGCCGTATTGCTGTAATATACCTCTAGACGTACTGTTGTAAAGTGTTCCTCTAGCCGTATTGCTGCAGTGTACCTATTGCCATATTGCTGTTATGTACATCTAGCCGTATTGCTGTAATGTTCCTCTAGCCGTATTGCTGTAATATACCTCTAGCCGTATTGCTGTAATGTACCTCTAGACGTATTTCTGTAATGTTCCTCTAGCCGTATTGCTGTAATATACCTCTAGACGTACTGTTGTAAAGTCTTCCTCTAGCCGTATTGCTGCAGTGTACCTATTGCCATATTGCTGTAATGTTCATCTAGCCGTATTGCTGTAATGTTCCTCTAGCCGTATTGCTGTAATGTACCTCTAGCCGTGTTGCTGTAATGTACCTCTGGCCGTATTGCTGTAATGTACCTCTTGCCGTATTGCTGTAATGAACAGCTAGTCGTTTCGTAACATTTCATTAGTTGTATTTCTTTACTATTTAGTAAGCCGTATTGTTATTAAATTGTTTAAGCCTTATTTTTGTTACGTTTCGCCAGCCGTATAGATGTAACATGGTCCTAGTTGTATTGCTGTAACATATGTAAGCTGATAGCGATTACTTTCGTCAGTCGTAATTAGTAAAACGTTATTCGACCCGTATTGATAGAACATACCGTGAGTCGTGTTGCGGTAAAATTTCGTTATCCGTAATCATTAATATACACAATATACCCTATACCCGCAGTATTGATGTAATTTTCCATTAGCCGTATCATTGTTACATTTTGTTAGCCGTATTGCTGAAAACAAACCGTTACCGTATTGCTGTAAAATAACGCTGACGGCATTACTGCAACATTCCTTTTACCGTATTGCTGTAAACCGTAACACATCGTCGGCCGTATATTGCTGTTAGTATTATTGTCTGTTTCGTATCAAACGGGATTTTATATTTCAGTGTGTACCTTGAACGTCATTAAGATCTTCCCACGGGTAATATTAAAATGTTTATATGTTCTTGTCGGTCATTGAACTATTACGGTTTACTGGATGCATGTAAAATTTAAAACCCTGGGGTCACTCATTAATTGAAACACGTCACGTGACTTTTTATACGGATGCGTGATTTAAACTATTTGAAGTTTATAATTATTTCTGCCGGGACAAAGCTTATAAATTGTGACAGAGAAACAATTCAAAATATTTCTTTCGGAAATAAACACACTTATACTTATTCATTAAATGTTTTTATGTATTATAATTCCTTTATCCCATCCTTTAAAGGGTCGTATTTGTGTAGGTGTACTTTACGTCTTTTAATCGCCCTGGATTTACGGATAAATGTAACAATGCAAACGAAACCAGTTGACTTTTAACTGGGATTAATTTCTTTATAATTATTATTTATCATAATGCAATAAATTGTTTAGTTCTTAACGCACTCGAAATTTAATCTGGATTATCCATTGTTTCATTTTCAATAAGTTTAAAAGATAAATATATATTTTGTCTTTTTGTATTGAACATTAACAGCAGACCGTACTGTTAAATTGTTGACACATATACGGAATAAGGAATAGAAATAAAATAATTACATTTTGTGAAAATAAAAATAAAAAATAGTGTGTAATTTGTGTGTACAATTTGGAATAACTAATTGATATACTTTGTTTCATTTGCTAGTAACTTGGTTTAATACACATGGTAAGTTCAGTTTATTAAATAAAAAGACGTCGTATTTCGCAATTTTAAATGCGGTTTAATTTTGTACGTTTACTTTTAAATGGTTAAAGTTGTAGATAAAAATAAATAGTCAGTTAACATGATACTAACATGTGCAGTGTAACGTGTATTATTATTGAGTTTCTGTCTTGATATATTAGTTGTTTAATAATCATAATACTGCACGTTTGTTATGATATTCTTAACGGGTTGTATGACCATTTATGTAACGTCACTATTCATTGGATAATCGTGACGTTTATAGTTTTGGATAATCGTGACGTTTTTAGTTTTTAGCTCACCTGTCACAAAGTGACAGGGTGAGCTTTTGTGATCGCTTTTCGTCCGTCCGTCCGTAAACTTTTACTTTAAATGACATCTCCTCATAAACCACTAAGCCAATTTCATCCAAACTTCACAGGAATGTTCCTTTGGTGGTCACCTTTAAATTTTGTTCAAAGAATTTAATTCCATGCAGAACTCTGGTTGCCATGGTAACCGAAAGAAAAAACTTTAAATATCTTCTTTTAAAAAATCCTAAGAGCTAGAGCTGAGATATTTGGCATGAAACATCTTCTAGTGAGTGTCTACCCAGTTTGTTCAAATTAAATCCCTGGAGTCAAAATTGGCCCCGCCCCGGGGGGATCATTGTTTTTCCCTATATGTATATAGTAAAAACTGAAAAAAAATCTTCTTTTAAAGAATCCAAAGAGCTAGAGCTAAGATATTTAGCATGAAACATTTTCTAATGGGTGCCTACCAAGTTTGTTCAAATGAAAGCCCTAGGGTCAAAATTGGCCCCGCCCCGTGTGTCATTGGTTTTCCCTATATGCATATAGTAAAAACATAAAAAACCTTCTTTTAAAGAACCAAAAGAGCTAGAGCTAAGATATTTAGCATGAAACATCTTCTAATGGGTGTCTACCAAGTTTGTTCAAATAAAAGCCCTGGGGTCAAAATTGTCCCCGCCCAGGGGGTCATTGGTTTTCCCTATATGCATATAGTAAAAACTTAAAAATCTTCTATTAAAGAACCCAAAGAGCTAGAGCTAAGATATTCAGCATGAAACATCTTCTAATGAGTGTCTACCAAGTTTGTTCAAATAAAAGCCCTGGGGTCAAAATTGGCCCCGCTCAAGGGGGTCATTGATTTTCCCTATATGCATATAGTAAAAACTTAAAAAATCTTCTTGTAAAGAACTCAAAGAGCCAGAGCTAAGATATTTAGCATGAAGCATGTTCTAATGAGTGTCTACCAAGTTTCTTTAAATTAAAGCCCTGGGTCAAAATTAGCCCCGCTCCGGGGGTCATTGATTTTCCTTATATGCGTAAAGGCAAAACTTAAAAAAATCTTCTTTGAAAAAACCCAAATAGCTAGAGTTTAGATATTAAGCATGAAACATCTTCTAGTAAGTGTCTACAAAGTTTTTTCGAATAAAAGCCCTGGGGTCAAAACTGGCCCCGCCCCAGGGGTGTCATTGTTTTTAACTTTATGTGTATAGTAAAAACTTAAAAATCTACTTTTAAAAAACCCAATGAGCTAGAGCTTAGATGATTAGCATGAAATATCTTCTTATGGATGTCTACCAAGTTTGTTCAAATAAAAGCCCTCGGGTGAAAATTGGCCCTGCCAGGGGAGGGGGTGGGGGAGGAGAGATCATTGTTTTTCATTATATGTGTGTAGTAAAAACTTAACATTGTGAAATAAAAACTTAACATTGTGAAACATCTTCTAATGAGTGTCTTCCAAGTTTGTTCAAATAAAAGCCCTGGGGTTTAAACTGGCCCCGCTCCGGGCCCTATATACAGGTGAGCGACCTCAGGGCCATCATGGCCCTCTTGTTTATAATACTGCACGTTTGTAACGTCACTTTTCATTGGATTATCGTGATGTTTATAGTTTTTTATAATAATGCACGTTTGTAATGTCACTTTTCATTGGATAATCGTGACGTTTATAGATTTTTTTATAAACGGTTGCTTTAAATATAACCCTCGCAAAGACAGCAGCTCGGGTTATATATGCAAACAAGCGTTTCTATATGGCCATATAACCAGTTAAACTATGAATTCGCTTCCCGTATAATTATAATTGATTACAGCATTTTATCATGTTTTATTTTATGCTTTTCAGTGGATTACTGATTTATCCGTGAAAATTATATTTGATAATTTCACAGTGAAAGTTATCAAAATATAATTTCACACTTTTCAATGACGAAACTACTTTTTGAGATTTTCCCCATGTGATACCTCAATTTTATTTTTGCTGACAATTCTGACAATGTCAGGCTGTTTAAAGAAAAGCAAAGTTGAAATTGATAAATAACTTAAAATGTCAAAAGTAATAAAAAGAAGAAAACTTACTTCTATTCATTCAAATTCCAATCACCAAAGTTCGTCTCTAAATTTTTTTTTCAATTTTACAGTCTGAAAAATACATTCCTTCCACATGCAAAACTGCTCTTGATGACATTTGGGCATGTTAAAGTATCCTACGAGCAATAACTGTCGTATGCTTTATGAAGCTTGAAAAGCAATGACAGTCATCCTCCGTCGTAGAATAAGTAAACAACCCAGCGTTCCGGAGCCAGCCTTTGAAGTTTTCCATTTTCCTTGCTGCTTTTTGAATGATTGACATCTGTCAACACTTATTTTTTGTCTGTTTCAATCCTCAAATATGTTTTCTTTCTTTTAAAAAGGTGTATGACTAACAAATCCAAATTATATCCCTCTGAATCAAACACAATTATTTTCCTCCCGTGAAAAAACACAACTTTAAAAAATGGCTGCCGCTAACATTTAACAAAGCCAGGTCTAATATAAATTCGCAGTAAGTAACGGAAATATGGGTAAAGGGTTGGACTTTTTCTCCTACAAGAATTGTTTGTTTTTATCATTAAAACAAGCGATCATTCATATTTTTTTCTAAAAAAATGAATAATATCACCGTCATTTTACGTTGATTGTTGAACTAATTTTCAGCTCAAGACTTCTTGTATTTAATGCGAAATTCCGACTAAATGGGCTCTCAATGGGGAAAACAGATTTTAATATTAACGTTAATATTGTGGAAATTTCGTTTTAACTTGTTTTTAAGCATAAAATAAAAAGAAATTTTTTTTTTGTTGTGTAAGATGTAATTTTATTTCATCTCGTTAACTTTAAAAACAGTATTCACACTCGTGGCTACGCCACTCGTGAGAATACTGTTTTTAAAGCCCACTTGATGAAATAAAATTTCATCTTACACACAAACAAACAAATATCCTCTACATTTTTATCATATTTTTTCTTTCTCAGAGAACACAATGGTGCTATATCAAAAATTCGTTAAAAAAGTGATTTAAAAGTTATATGGTTCTCTAAATAAATAACCTTTAATCATTTGTACTGACCCAAATAACTTAAATTTTTTTTTATAATTAATAGTATAGTGAACATATCTTTGTTAGCATTTGATTATCTTGAATTTATATAGATATTATATTGTGTGTTCACATCATAATACTATGTTAATATACCATTATATTATGTGTTCACATTATCATTTTATGTTAATATACTATTATATTGTGTGATCATATAAACATGATATGTTTATATATCATTATATCATGTGTTCACATTATCATATTATATAAATATAGCATTATATTGTGTGTTCATATTATCATGACTGCTATCTTTGATATAATATTATCATTATATTGTGAACTCACTTTTTCATTTTATGTTAACATATCATTTCATTTTGTATGTAAAAATGTCAATAGAACCTTTTTAATATATGATCTACATATAGCTGCAATCTCACTGTCCCAAACACTTATCAACAGAACGATTTATAATATCATGTTCATTGGGTGAAGAATCATGTGCACTAAGTCTTGCTGAATTGGGCTATCGCCTCGGTCAATATGTCATCTGCCGGTGAATATCTTATCATATTCAATGGCTCATTAGTCAATAATTGTATAATATTTTATGATCATTTTGACTAATATATCAGCTAGTTATGAGGTCGTTATCCATATTTCATTATGTTACGTGAAATTTTTTATGTGTTTTTGCATAATATTAAGTATGTTCAAAATCAATATTTTACAGTATATGTATATATTATATGCGATCAAAGAAGAAGATCTTTGTAAGTGTTAATACATGTATATATTTTTTTCAAGACCACCTTGTTATTCTTTCTTTATATATCCACTCTAAATCTAATTCTTAGAGTTTCAAGAGATAGTTTCATGTATGCTTCAAAGCTGCATGCCTCCAGATGAGCCGAAATATATCAATACAATTAAATTTGAGAAAAATAAGGGTACAATTTAAAGCAAAGTAAAATGTTTTAAGATTCAAGTAATGATTTACATAATATAAGGGATTATGCGATTAAGGGCTGATTTTGCTGTATTTATCACCATATTTCTACTGCGTTTCTAACGCAGTAAATGCTGCTTTTGCTTATTCTGATCTCTTTTTTGGTAATTTACGTGGATTGCAAGTATTGTTTGCATTGAGTAAATTATATTCTTTGTTTGATTTGATATTTGATTTTTTAATACATTTTTGAAATTTTCATGAAAATAAGCATGAATCTGGAGGCGTACTGCTTTAAGCATTCTACTCAATCCAGTATGCAATGTATGTATTGAATTTTTGTTATGAAAATATTGAAACATTATTTTTTCGACCTCATTGAACTCGAATGTTAAAATCTCGTTGGATGTTATGACATAATCATGTTTATTTTGTCAAAATTTGACATACACGATATATATACTTAGAACAAGCATTATATTTAAGGATATCTCTCTCTATCGAATTGAATGTACGCTTTTCTTTGCGTTTGCTTTTTTTCTCTAACACATTTAACCAACAGTGTCTTTGTAATTGTGTTTCCGGTTAAAACCAAATATTCAAGATATGTTCTCTTTTAGGTTATTTTTTAAAAAACTCGAATAACTTTAATATATTTTCATGATAAAATCAAAAATTATTGCCACGCAGCCAAATACATGTATGCCAAAAGTAGCTGTAAAACTTTCGAGACGTTAAAGGCCCATTATGCCCTAGAAATGCTTTTATTTTTTATGTCTCAAAAGCATTTATTTTTGCTATCCAATGATAGTTTTCAAAAAAAAGTTATTCATTGACCAATTACCTGAAACTTTTTTTTATTCTGTTGCCTTTTGGTAATTAACTAGTCTAGTACAAATACTAGTATAGTAATTCAGTATTTTGTAAGAAAGTCAAAATACTACTTAGTTAACATTTTGCTATTTTTATGACAAACAATTTCACATTCAGTGATATTTTCTTCTGGTGGTAAGCATCTAACATGCTCTAAAATCATTTTCTGAACATTATAAAACTCAAGTTTTGCTCTTTCCCAAGGAGAGAAAAAAATCGTTTTTGAGGCATAATGTTCCTTTGATGGGTCTAAACTATGCCACTATATGTCATGAATATAATGCCAGCACTTGACCCCACTATATCATTTATTGACGATGGGTGAATATATAATTACATTTATTGTTAAGATTACCATCACTTTTGAATTATTAATTACACGTGGTGTATAGGTCCATTTGTGCGCGTACATATCAACCACTGCACCGATAATTGAAATTAATCGACCCAACGAATTGTAATCATGCAAAATCAACGATGTCGTGCGACTGATTTGATGCTTAACGCTGCCCTTCGTTTGTGTTATAAAATTAGTTGTTTAACCTTGTCCAAATACGGCACAATTTATGGATAGTTAAACCGATTAGTTCGACCTAAGCTGTATGAAATGGATTCAAAAATCTTATTTTCTTTCTTAGATTAATCTTATTTTCGTTACAAAGATAACAACGCCTGATATTGTATTGAAAACTTAACTATACGCTTGTCTATTTCAGTGAAGAACGTGCCAACTCTGAGATATAATGGTGGACAGTGACGTCATTTACGCACAGCTATGTGACGCACTAAACAACGGTGACGTCGGAGATGTTGTGTCCCTTTTACGTGACAATGACGTTGATATTGATTATCGTGACGTCACACATGATCTTCAGACGTTTTTAATGCGCGTGTGCTACGTAAATATTGAAACAGAGGAATTACTTGAAATTCTTGAAGCAATATTTGATCACAGTCCGGATGTTAATATCAAAGACTCTTGGGGTAGGACTGTACTAATGCATGCGTGCATCGCAAATAAACCGGTCGTCATCGAAGGACTTCTTGAATATGAAAATACTGACGTCACTCAGGTTGATTTTGAAGGAAACTCAGTGCTATCGTTTGCTGTACAGAACTGTGATGTTTTTACGTTAGAGGATATTCTCAAACATTCTTGTGGACCGAAATTACTTTCAATTCACAACTTCAAAGGTAGGGAGTTACGTATTTTTTCCTATTGACTAATATCATTTCCTATTGACAAATTAATATTTATAACATTGCACGTTTGTAACGTCGCTTTTTATTGGATGATTATGACTTTTGTATTATAAGTTATAAGATTTTTGGCAGGTTATATGGCCTTATATAACCGGTTGTTTTTATTGTTGTTTTTTTTTTCACGTTTATCCTGAGCCGCTAGACGGGCTTAATTGCAAATAGCCGTTAAAATCGACCATATAACCTGTTAAGATTCTTTATAACGAATTTATGATTCTGAAAACTTTCTTATAAAGAGATAAATTATGGAATAAATTCATAAATCGATTGCAACCCTGTATATATAGATTATATGTACGTATATACGTATGTTACGATTATCCAATGAAAAACGACGATACAGCAGCATTATGAAGTTAATGTATAATTTTATAATGCTGCACTTTTGTAACGTCGCTTTTCATTGGCTAATCCTGACATTTATATAAAGTTTTTTAAACATGGGTGCTATCAATTTATGAATAAATCTCTTTTTTTCTCAATAAAGGGATGTTTGCTGTAATATAAATTCGTTATAATCATTCCTGGCAGGTTATATGAACATAATTATATAATAAACGGTCGTTTACAATTTAACCGTTGCCTTGCGGCTCGGGGATATATTTCATAAACCGTTTCCATAGTGGCATATTAACTGTCAAAAATCGTTATAACTAATGACATAAATATATTCTTAGCATGCAAATATATCAATTTAAGTAATCTTCAATTTTTTTTTTTTCAAATTAAAGTCAGACAGACAACTTACCAAATTATTTTAGAGTATCTTTGGTCATAACAAAGTAGATCTATGTTGTGGTCGCAGAGAACAAACTTTTTTGCCCCCACCCCCCGCCCCCCCCCCCTTCCGATGATAGTTTTAATCCGCACCGAATTCTTGTGTGACAAAACTTTGTAATGGTGTCAATTTCAGACACAATGCATGTCGGGTCATTTTAGGTCTTCCTGTGTCAGTTAAGCTGAATGTTTCCTAAACAAACTTCCGAAACCTGCAAATACCTTAAACTTTGAAATCATTTTCAAGAAGGCTCAGATTTCAATAGAAATTTAAAATACGTTCTGGGATTAGAAAAGAACTGTATATTCTAAACTAAAACGAGTTTCACAATCACAGCCTTATATAATTATGTAATGCATAACTCTTGTCTATGGGTTTCGAGAATATGGGAGACCGGGACAAATACAGGTACAAATAATAACACAGGTACATTATTATTTCGGCTGCACTTCCTGTTGTTGTTTTCTTTGTCACTTAAATTCGATAGTTTTCTATTTATAGGACAATCACCGTACACAATCGCACAGAAAAGTGGTGACAAGTCCGTGATACGATTGTTTGATTCTTATATGAACAATACAGCCAGTCTTGAGAAGAAAAAACGACGGAAACCAAGAAATCGTGACGTAATCAAACTTCCGCCTACTTACTCACCTTCGCCTGAAAGAAGCGCGAGAAATCCGTCCGAGAGGAAAGAAGTGCAATATGTCTCAAAATATCAGTGCAATAATGATCGGCTACAAAGTACAGGAAATGAACTCAAATTAGATATCAAAGCAACAAAAGATCTTACAAATTTCGAAAACGACGCGAAAGGAAAGTGTGACTCCGCGCCTGTTATTCGAAGTGAGAGATTGTGCCGGGAGGAAGTAGTCTCATCATTATCATTATCATCACCGAAACTAGCTCGCAGACATCACAAACAAGATTGTTTACTTCAAGAAACACTTTTACTCAATCAATCACGAAACTTCCCTCAAGTTAAGGCAGAAAGCAATTTCACGGACGGAAGTGAAGATAAACTTGAACTTCCGGAATATAGTTTCAGGAAACAGAGGCGGCCATCTTTATCACTTCCGGACTTGCGCAATGTGTCGGGATTTTTAGTTAATTCCGGAAGCAGCACGCCAACCGAAGGCGGTGATATATCTAAAAGAAGTACCCCGACAAAAAATGTTCAGAACGATAGCGATGACGACGATGTCTTTTCACAAAGTTGTCCGAGTTATAGATCAAAATCGAAGCCAATATTTAAACGGCAGACTAGCGAGAAACACGTGGTTCTCCCGGATATAAATAAAGGAAACACAACTCTGTCTTCCCCAGCAAACATGAGGAAAGCGGTTGTTTCCCTTGCAAGAAACAGGAAGTACTCGAATAGCGATGATCAGTTACACAGACCAGGTTTTAACAGCTAGGACAATTTAAGACAAAAAGATGACTTGGCCCCGTACCGTTTTAATTATTCATTGTGAGAAGGAAAACTTTACAAAAATGCGTACTTTTAACCCGTCAATATTGAAGATAATTTAAGTATATTAAGAAAAGCAAAGCCATAAACCAGTCAGTCAATTCACAGGTGTCCGATGTCAAGGCGTGGCACGTGTTTTTCCAAGACGAATTGTTTTCGTTTATTTATTTATTTATTTATTTATATATTTTTTTTACAGAAAATGTATGTTGCTTTCGTTCGACACAGCTGTTTTCTGCGAAATGCTGTTTACACGTGTCATATTAAGAAATACTGTTTCTGTTATATTAATAGAAAATAAGCGATGCCATACGATAAATAGAATTTTGCATAAGTGTTAGTACAATACTGAATTTATTGAACAAGTTGAATAAATGCATTAATGAATCTACACGGATATGATATTCTGTTTACCAAATACCCAAAATAAAGACTGTTTACAAAGAAAAAAATTCATTGACTCGCCTATAGTATAACATTAAGCGCGACACAATATTTTGTATAACGCAAATATCGTTACGTCAAAAGATATGCACGGTCGTGCAATACGGATGTTTACGGAGTCGCAAAACGGCACGGGAATGTGAAAATATACAATGTATTAAAAATCTGTCTAGTCTTAAGCACAGTACAGTACAGCACCAGACCATTCAAAAAAAAAAAAAAAAGAAACGGCGAAAACGTGTTTAAATATGTTCTAATAATGAATTAAGAGCATATTAGATGTTTAATAGCTGAAGAAAGTAGCGCTGAATGTGCATTAATGTGCCGTATAGGTAGCGAAATGTGAACAATGTTAACTGCAACTCAAAATACTAATTCACTATAATTATAGCTATTGCCATCAGAGCAAAAGAAGTTTAAAAAAGATTCATGTATATGGCAAATGAGTATTTTTTTAGAAACTGTAACAAGTTACCAAAAATAATATCTGAGGCAAAATGGGCCTTTAATATTTCGATTTCGATATTGTGATTCCTAAAGCAAACAAAAGCCTGCAAGTAAGTAAAATCAGGGTAACGATAAACTTGTCTACTGGAACATATAAGTATGACGAACTTTATCGAATATAAGCGAAAAAGGCCGAGATTATTCCTAATATGGCGGAAATGAACGGAAATATCCGAGCGTCCAAGGGCTAGACAGGGATGTCTAACTATTATTGTTAAATTGTTATCTTTGTGTATATTTAAAATTTACTTTTGAAAATCTTAAATGTTCAAATGTGGATATTGTCAAATAAATACATGTATTTTGTAATAGATAAATTTTCTATGTGGAATATATATTATACAGTTCTGTTGTTAATATTATTTGTTTTTTATTTGTTGTTGTTGATGATGATGATGATGATGATGATATATAACAGTATCACAGAATTTGAAAAAAATGGAACGATCTCATTGGACAAAATATGATATCAAACACTAGTTTGAAAAACTGCAATACTATTGGAAAGACAATTATTTTAAACACTAATTTAGTGTTTAAAATTATTTTTTGTCAAATAGAATTGCAATATTTCAAATGAATCATAACACATGTTGCACTTATTCATTATCCCTCATGTACAGACTCAATAAAACCGAGACTGCAATTTTCATATCATTGTGTCGTGATTAATGCTTCCGATTAATCACTTTGTTTCCAGATTTTTACAAACACTAGTGTTTAATAGTAAACATTTACTACAATAAATTCATCGAACTCTTTGATTTTATGCAGAGACAGATAAATCAGTTAACAATATAATACTTATAATACTGGTTATATTATGCTTTCATTGGTCAAATTATTTAAAAAAATAACTACCGAAGAAACGATTATAGAGGTCAGTTCCAAAGGGGTGACTCCATTAGGATTTTATCCCCAATTCGAGGTCCAATCGGATTATTTTCCAGTAATTATCGGTATCCTATACATCTTTATTTTTAGATATAAATCTTGTATTGGTATAAACAATTTTTTCAAATAATCCTCTAGTTACTGATACAGAAAAAAAACTTAATTCTTTACTTACAGTTCAGTAGAGATAGCTAGATTAAATTTCTTTATAATAAATATTCATATGTATCCCAATATCTCTATATGAGATTTTTATTTGTTTTCGGGAGAATCTTAGGAAACAATTTTGGGTTAAGTGAGATTTTTGTCTCATAATTCAACGTTAGCTTGATACACATAATACAATTATACCCTTATTAGATTGTTGACCAATAACAGTGTTCCAATTAATGATTGTAAATATATCTATAGGAGTGATTTGCAAAAGGTCTTATTACAAAATATCTGTTATAACGCATTTATCTAGCTGTAACCATTTATTGGCTATTCTATTGTTGAATGCATCAGTCTTAGCCGTGGAAAATAGCGGAAAATTTGAAATATTGACCAGCGAAGCAAAGGCTTAGTCCTCAATCAATCACATAAACAAAACAGAACATACGAAAAAAATATTATTTGTATTGTTATTAATCTTTGTTATGTATACAAAGGCTCAAGATATCATCCTGTGACAGTACGCGTTTTTAAATACATTGTATGCGAACAACAATAAGGTTTTACATGCATGCATGCAAGAAAAATATGAAGTGAGAGCATATATCACGGGGGAGGAAGTGTTACACGAGGGATGGAGTTCTTGTGATAACTGTCCCGGAGTTCGCCGTGCAACTATTGTATAAACTGCAAAAAACTCGTCAAAAATGGTAATTTTCATCTTTAAAAAGTGAGTTTTTGGTGCTAAATTAAACATTCATGATTAAGCTTGCCTTACATATTGTATCATGTTTCAAAAACTAATTCATAGTCCATTTTTCATCGCCTCTTGCTTAAAATCTGGTAGTTTTGAGTAAAAATTTCAAATTATTTGCCAATTCGCAAGTATTGACCTGTTTATTTCAAGTCTTCATCATTGCAATACATAATTACCTAATAATAATACAAGATTGATTTATACCCGATCTTTCAAATGTCCCGGAGTTATTGTGATAACTCAAAATATGTCCTGGAGTTCTTATGATAACTTTTGTTACTGCCAATGTGTTTGTTGCGCTAAATCACGGCACGTTTTAGCAATTTTTATTATTCAATAAGGTTGTAAATAATTATGAAATATAATACGCTCATCCTTTTCATAAAATGTTGGTCTTGAGTGTCTGCAAAGGATAAACAGGTGATAGGCTATCATCTACAGTAAAGATTGAATCAGCTGCACCATTATGGCCTAAACCACAAAACAAAAATGTCTCAAAACTTACACGTTGTTCTCAACCATCTTTCTTAAGCAGATAATATATATATATTTTTTTTGATTGGGTTTTACGTCACATCGACACAGTATAGGTCATATCCAGCTTTACTGGTGGAGGAAGACCTCAGGTGCCCCTCCGTGCATTATCTTAACCACGAACGGGCACCTGAGTAGAACCACCGACGTTCCGTAAGCTAGCTGGATAGCTTCCTCACATGAAAGAATCCAAGTCCCTGGCGGGATTCGAACCCATAGCGGTGAGGGGCAAGTGGTTTGAAGTCAAAGACCTTAACCATTCGGCCACGGACGATATAGTTGTGCCTCGCTTATCTAAGGGCTATGTAATTTGTTTCATTTTATACCATAATAAACAAGTACACTTATAAAACCAGGATAATTTCTTCAAACCTATGTTTCCAAAAAATACGACAATATGATAAAAATTCAACTACTGATCTCTCGAACAAATTTGCAAGTCCTTCCGGGTTCGAGCCTAAAATATATTTTTCTTATCAATTACAGCAAATCTCCACTAAGATTACATAGGGGAAATACCCATCAAACATCGGCAGAAAAATATGCATAAAGACACCATACTTGAGCGCATTTATATCATGAAAGTCAATGCTCTACATCAATCCTTTTTCCAGTCTACGAAATCTGAGTCAGCAAAAATATTTTGCAAATAGGTAATTATGTATGGCAAAGGATGAAGACTTGAAATTAATACCATAAAAAGAAACAAGGATAAGATATCTCTAACTTAAATACACTCAAAACCAAAATAATATATCCTCATTCTTGGTGCAAAAAAATGAGCCTACTTCATTTCATAATAATTTACAACCTTATTGAATAATAAAAAACGTTAAAACGTGCCGTGATTTAGCACAAGAAACACATTGGCAGTAACAAAAGTTATCATAAGAACTCCAGGACATATTTTGAGTTATCACAAGAACTCCGGGACATTTGAAAAACCGGGTATGTATTTGTTAGCCGGGGCTTTATGTTTGCAATTTTGTATTATCATTAGGTAATTATGTATGGCAAGGATGAAGACTTGAAATAAACATGTCAATACTTGCAAATTGGCAACAAAAAATGGAAATTTTACTCAAAACTACCAGATTTTAGGCAAGAGGCGATGAAAAATGGACTATGAATTAGTTTTTGAAACATAATACAATATGTAAGGCAAGCTTAATCATGAATGTTTAATTTAGCACCTAAAACTCACTTTTTAAAGACGAAAATTACCATTTTTGACGAGATTTTTTGCAGTATATACAATAGTTTTCCGACGAACTCCGTGACAATTATCACAAGAACTCCTTGACAAATTATCAACTCCATCCCTCGTGTAACACTTCCTCCCCCGTGATATATAAGAAATGAATGTAATGAAGATAAAAAAAAAACATAGCTTACATATGTAGTAAATCTAAGATATTTGGCTTTGATATCTCTAACTAGTCATGTGCAATTATGATTATGAAAATGTAAGACATCGTTATTTGATATGACAAAATATTTTAATTCAGTATTTTAATTATCTAGTTTGCATTTAAGCGAGTCTTTCTTTCTTCAAACACTTTGATTAAATATTTTGTCAGTCTATATTATAAAAGATGTACAATACTGGAAGAAAATAAATCAATTAATTTATTCATATTTGGCCTTGCCATAAAGGAAATATATAAATTAGATTTTTAATTATATGTCAAAGGACATTGACGTGAAAAGTTTTCTTTTTGAGCATCATGAGTAAACTGCAAACAAATGAGTGAAGGATAACCCTACAGATACTGTAACTTATTTTTATGGATTTAAATCATAAATATATTGCTCAAATGAAGATTTATCAATATTGTAAGTTCTAAAAAGCATTATTTGTATAGAAATAACCGAATTTACATTTTATGTTAATAAAGGGAGGTAATTAGAAATTTATTTTCTATAAAGGCTTAGTCAAATTTTTCAATAAAAAATAAATGCATATGTTTTAATTATTACAATGTGGACAAATATTTGCAGTACATATTTTATATTTTCTCCGATGTTTCAAAATTGTTTTTGAAGCATAATTATATACATATATAAAATTTCACTTAAGTGTAGTAACAACAAGATCTTTAACACAATTTTTTCATGGTTTTATTTCAAAAATATGATCCTCAAATTAAGATTTGTCAATATTGTAAGTTCCAAAAAGCATTATTTATAACGATATTACCCAATTTAACATTTCATGTAAATAAAGGGAGGTAATTAGAAAGTTATTTTCTATAAATTCCAAGTCAAATTTTCTAATGAGAAATAAATGCATGCAATTTATTGATTACATATAATGTGCACAAATATTTGCAGTACACATTTTACATATTCTTGGATGTTTGAAAATTGTTTTATTTGCATAATTATATACATATATATTCTTTTGCAAGTGTGGTATACAGACAGTAACAATATTAATCACAAAACATACAGGATCTTTAAAGATACGTACCTATTTCGTTTGCTTTTGTAAGTCGCGTGATGTAGTTTTGTCACCAGATTGCGTTAACCATACATCTTAACATCACGAAGACGTGGACACATTGACATGAAATATATGTCAAAATTATGCCAATGAGCATGTATGCGATCCGCCAAACAATCGCATCTTTTCGGCCCTTTCCGTAAGTCTTCGGACGCAATAGAACGGATACAGTATTTCGGTCTAACCTACGCTAAGAAACTAAATATGTTAACAAATAGTAATTTATTGTTGTGCGTTGTTGACAAGTTTTTTAATCAATATATCAAGTAAAAGTCTGCCTAAAATAATAAGCAAATTCAAAGATATAAAAGTAAACAATACATTATTTCTATACTTATTATTATGGTTGTAGAAACCGAAAGTACAAAATGCCAGTTGACATTAAGTCGGATTTGTTTATAATTGTACATCAATGGGCATATTTAAAGAAGAAATGGTTGTCAGACATATTTTCAATCAAAAGTGTACCAAGATAGACTATATTTTCCTTTCAAGGCAATAGAAGCATGGTTTATATTCAAATCTTATACATCAAAGATCCATTAGCCCCCGAAAGGCTATCCCTTTTTATTTCTCAAAACTATTTTTTTTTGTATCTCATTTAATTTTCCAAATTAATACTCATTATCCATATAAATGAACTATTTCCCTCTCTCATTGTTTGCTCTTTGGCAATTTGTAATATAATAGTGAGTAGGTATTTTGTAAATACAGTTTTGACCTTTCTAAAGATTTTTTTTTTTAAATCATTGATTGCCAGTGCATAATGTGCCGTTAAAGCCTCGTTTGTTACTATTTTAATTGTACAAATTTCCTAATTTCTCCGTAAGTCTATTATTATTCTACTTACAATTATGTAAGAGGAACAAAAAAATTCATCACGTTGAACACAAATTGTTAGCAATTAACCCAAGTAACTTTATCAACACATAAGGTCGTATCAGGACGTCCCAATTAGATTTAAAAGCTACAAAAAGTAAACTATATTCCTATGTGACTACGATAACAGTGTTAAGATGAAAGAAACTATGTAAATTCGTAAGAATTGTGAATATAATTGTATTAAAATTTGATTATAAGATTTGCTACTTTCCTGCACGTTAAGTACACACGTACTTGAAGAAAAATTGAAAACTTTAGAACTGGCTCATTACATAAAAGTTGGCTTTACTTCAACAGTTATAATTAAATGAAGGTTTTAATTAACATCAAAACAATACCAGTTTCTATAAATTTTAAAAATAAATTTGTAGTTCAAATGTTCACAGCTTAAGAAAGGGGTCATGCTTAAAGGCCCAGTATGACAAAAAATTATTTTATTTGTTACTTCAAAAACTCTTTTATTTTCATTTCAGTATTCTGTTATTGTTTCCTAAAAAGTTCTTTGCTTCTGCTTCGGGTTGTCAATTAGTACAGTTACAGTGATTATGTATTTTCTTTGGAAGTCAGAATACTACTTTGTTTATATTTTGTTGCTTGTCCGACAAATAATGGCATATATTCATAATTGTTTTCAGGTTATAAACATTCATTTTACATGCTCAAAAATCATTTAGGTAATGCTTGCTCTTGCTAAAATGGGATAACTTTATGCATTCTCTGACAGAGATCAGTTAATTGTTGTAATATGTTTTCACATTTGTCGCGAGCTAAAACATAATAACAATTAAAACATCATCATTACCAATTCGTTACAAGGAATCCAATGTCACATTGTTAGAAATAACACCATTTATCTTCATCTTAACGTGTCTTTATCATTGTTTCCCGAATTTGCTTTATATGTAAAGTTCATTTACGAGCATTAAACTACAGAGAAAAATGAAGCTTTTCTAGAGGATTTGACCATGGACCATCTTGACATAGACCTTAAGTTAATATAATGACTCTATATTTATATATTTTCGTAGAATAAAAATACTTTTACATGTATTTGAATTCTAAATTTGTCTGTTATATTTCATCATAAAAATTCCCAATATGTAAAGATCTGTTGATTCCTTTAGCAAGAATCTTTACATTCTTTGCTTAATACTGGTTGATTCCAGGAACAAATTGATTCAAATGTGTTTCAATAAGCCTATACGAACTAAAACAAATAATTGTAAATAACAGACTCAGTTTGTTTATCTCAGTTCAAACAAGATTGAGGAAAGTGCAATCTTCCCCTTGACCAAACCACATCCAACTAAAAGCAACGGCTTCGGTGGTATTTAATCCTATAAACTATAGGAACTTATGGAAAAATGCTTCCATAAGACCAGAAAACAACACAGCCCATAGTTGTCGTAACAATAGGGTTATTGACATAAGCTGTGAATAGAAGAAAACATCTGGAAACAGTGACCACTCGGAAGCATTACTTACATCAAAATTACATATAAATTGCAGACTCGATTTGATTGAGTCTGTACATGAGGGATAATGAATAAGTGCAACGTCCCTCACGCCCCCCTAGCACCGGCTTGAGCGGTGCGACTTGTAGATAAGGAGATATACTCGAAAGCAAGGCAAAACAAAAGCAAATAGTTGAAAATTTAATCTAATTGAAGTGAACACGATCCTAGTTTCTTAATGACGTATAAGTCATCATTGTCAATCTTTATTGTTCGTATATTTTTTGGTAACTGTTTTTAGCAGACGACAAATTCCCACGATTACATCGATTTAATGATATTCCAAATGATCTTTGAATTTGTGATTTGACTTAGGGCTGAAGACTTTCTCTTTATGTCCTTTTTCACTACAATAACATTTTACTTTTAAAAATAAAACACAAATATTTTGAAGACTCTCTCCCTCTCTCTCTAAAAATGGTATGTTTTAAATACATGTACAAGATAAGTTGTTAAAGTAATACAGGAAATCAAAAGTTAACTAATATCATTTTATTGCATCAAAATAATATTTAAACATATCATTTCACTAAAGAAATAAATAGCTCTACAAAATTAGATACTAATAAATCGGTAAACATTTTTCACTATCACTCGAGCAACCGGAACGTATGATCGGCAGTCAGTACGTAAATAAAGAAAATTAAGCCCACAGATGACGTTGTATCAATCAAAACAAACGCACCTACATAACGTTCAATTTAATACATAAAGTGAAATTTGATAAAAACTTAAGCCATTCCAATGTTTTCCAACGCCTTTAATGGTTTAACTTATATAAACAGTTTTCATAAATGCGTTTGTGATTAATTCGTAGGGCGGAGGAACGGAACGCTAGCCTTATAACCGTTACTATCTTATCGCGCATGTGCGTCAGAGGTGGACAAAGAAGTTATTTTGTTTGGTTACACTGGAATATAGTTCTGACAGTTTCGGATTTATTTTAAAAGCAGAGAGTTAAGATTATCTCGTAAAAGTTAAGGATTTAAAACTTACGGAGTGGATAAAATACGTGTATTTACTATATCACTCGATATTTTGATATTTGCCTCCTTTAGATATACGAGTAAAATATAAACTGATATTTTGAGGGCAAATCCAAGTTTTTCACTTCAGTTGCGATTTAATTATTTCGAAACAGGTATGTTTGAAATAATTATACACTATGAGATATAAATAATGTTTGAAGCTAAACTTATTTGACTTTCTTTTGATTGATTTTTCTTTGTGTTTATGCTTGAATCTTTCATAAATAAGTTTGTTACATATTCTTTTATTTCACTATTATTATTATTATTATTATTATTATTATTATTATTATTATTATTATTATGCACTTTTTGCTATTCAGTCAGTTTTTTATTTTTAAAATGTCCCTAAAATGATGAATGGTTTAGTCCAAATTAAATGATGGACAAGTCTATTTCAAATATTTAGCATTTTAAGGGTTTAGAAATAATTGTGAACAGGATCTAATAAAATAAATTCATTAAATACGGACAAATGCAAACAAACAAACAAACAAACAAACAAACCGGAATTGTATCTGCCCCCATAGTTGTTTACAAATTCTAATATATTATATGAACGACCGTTTATAAAAGAATGAATATATGAAAGTTCACATCTTTTTATAAAGACGATTTGAATGGTGTTCAAGATAGCGTTTGGTTCACTGTGCAATCCAATGCGCTTCACCTTCGAAATTAATGATATTTTACAATAATTTTGTTTCTTCTTCTTTTTCGGTAAATTGGGCTATGTTATCTTGCAGTGTACATTTTTATTATACGTTAATCTTTGTTTGAGTAACTTTTCCATAATAAGTGCTCTAAGACAGTATGGTAATCCTAAACTTAATGTTATTGACGACCCAAGTGCAAGTAACTTTATGTCCGTAAAGTGATTTTAGCAACTAATTATTCTTACAGCTGTCCGTATTGTGATTATGACAACTAATTATTCTTACGTTTCTCCGCCATCGTGTATGGCGTGATAAAACTTGGGCGTATCGATCTAGTTTTTAGTTTTTGTCCGAAACGTTATCATGGAAATATTTGCGTTGTGTACACACAAATGTAAATATTGCAATACGATCAAGTGTACAGTTATTGTAACAAAAAAGACGTGGGCTTAATTTTACTGTGGCACAGTCACGCCCGTTTAACTCACAACGAGTGAAAAATGTCCATCGGTAAAAATGTTGTGAGCAACTTCCGTTCCTCGTTGTGAGCACCCATCTTTGACGTGTGACATGATTAACAAGGTGAGTTTTTCATATTTTTTGAAAATTACAGAAATTTATGTAAAAAAATCGGAATGCAGTTAGCTAGCGATGTGTTTTCCGAGTATGCACATGTAAAGACATTGCCTGTTGGTGGACAATTTGATGGAAATATCGTGCGACGCAGTCACTCGGGGTAGCTGGAAAACTGGAGACAACTTCTCTTTGGACCTAATTTAACATTGAAAAACGTCGATTCTGTTGATGTTTTGTGCATTCTAACCTAAAACAGATGCCCACAAGTCTTCAGCGTAAATTATTATCTGAAAGTCTTCATAGAAACGAAGATATACCCTTTTTTGCTTTAATCCTCGTTGTGAGCACCATAACCTCGTTGTGAGCAAGACAAGCGCAGTGCGTGTATGGTTTTAATATGTAATTCAGATGGTTAAAATATAATTTTCAATCTACCATAGCAATTAAAACGTTTTTGCACAGCAGCATTTCTTTGCAAGACGTTGTGCATACTCCAAAGGGAGGCATATTAGTTTTGAACTGTCCGTCTGTCAGTCCGCCAATCCGTCCGAAAACTTTAACATTGGCCATAACTTCCTTATTAGTATACGGATTTGATTCATATTTGAACACAACATCCCCTAGCACAAGACCTTCCTACGGACCTGTATTTTTTACCTTGACACCTGAATGGCCTTTACCTTGAAGGTCAAATTGTCCAAAAACATTTAAGATTGGCCATAATGTCCTGGCATAATTTTTAGGCACAACACCTCTTTGGACAAGGCCTTCTAACTATCCTATATTCTTTTGACCTTGAACCCTGAATGACCTTCACCTTGAAGGTCAAATTGTCCAAAAACTTAAAAATTGGTCATAACTTCCTTATTAGTATACGGATTCTACTCATATTTTGACACAACCCTTTAGGCAAGACCTTCAAACTGAGATGTATTTTTTTTACATTGTTCCCTGAATGACATTTTAGAACATCCAAAAACTTTAACATTGGTCATAACTTCTTTATTAGTAAGTGGAATGAATTCATATTTGGACACAATACCCCTTTGGACAAGACCTTCCAACTGACCTATATTTATATCACCTTGACCTTGTATGACCTTCACATTGAAGGTCTAAATGTCCAAAAACAAATAATCTATCTGGTCCATAAATCAAAGGACAAATCACCACTTCGGGGGCATTGTCAACTTACCGTGACAGTTCTTGTTTTACATACCTTGGTCAGGTCTTCAGCTCAGGATAAACACATGTATGTGTGTATCACACAGATTGTGAAATTGTTGAAATATTCATAAACTTCCCGTGATGTTCAGTCGTGCCACACTATACTATACGAAATAAAATACCTGATTTACCTCGACTGATTAGTTCTTCCGTTAATCTGATGACTTGTGAATATGTAGAATAATTTTCAAAAAAAAAAAAAAAAAAAAAAAAACTATTGTACAAAAACGTTTTGATGTTTTTTTGTAGATTGAAAATTGTATTCTCGTCATTTTAATTACATATTAAAACCAGACATGCACTGCGCTTGTCTTGCTCACAACGAGGTTATGGTGCTCACAACGAGGATTAAAGCAAAAAAGGGTATATCTTCGTTTCTTTGAAGACTTTCAGATAATAATTTACGCTGAAGACTTGTGGGCATCTGTTTTAGGTTAGAATGCACAAAACATCACCAGAATCGACGTTTTCAATGTTAAATTAGGTCCAAAGAGAAGTTATCTCCAGTTTTCCAGCTACCCCGAGTGACTGCGTCGCACGGTATTTCATCAAATTGTCCACCAACAGGCAATATCTTTACATGTGCATACTCGGAAAACACATCGCTAGCTAACTGCATTCCGATATTTTTACATAAATGTCTGTAATCTTCAAAAATTATGAAAAACTCACCTTGTTTATCGTGTCACACGTCAAAGATGGGTGCTCACAACGAGGAACGGAAGTTGCTCACAACATTTTTACCGATGGACATTTTTCACTCGTTGTGAGTTAAACGGGCGTGACAGTGGTGACACATGCGTTTCTTTATTATCTCGTTCCCGCGAAATAATTATCTCAATCTTGCGACATTATTATCTCAAACTTGCTACATAATCATTTTACTCCAATGGCATAAGTAATAGAAAGAGCACCGAAACACGAGGTTATCTGATTTGTACGACGGGGCTTAGCTCCGAGTATAAATCAGATTGCCGAGTGTTTTGATGCTCTTCCTCTTTTGTATCATAGTCATACCAGGGTCTTTCAAATAGAAAGACCCTGGTCATACATAAAAACACGTTTCCTGATACCAAATATGAAACCCCACAAAAAAGTAACCAATGAACGAGCATCTGAATAGGATATTCCCATCGCTATCCCTTTCTCTGTCGTCACAATATGTAAACCCGGACAAAATGAACCAATCGATGGGCATGCTCTGGAGTGCAGGTAACTAATACCTGCACTCCAGATAACGCATTGTGCATGTATATGTATACGATTTATCTGTCACATTTTCAACAGAAAGGTCCCCAAACTATGATACAAAATTAAAAAGATTTTGGGAAATAAAAATAAAGCATTTCTCAGGCATCATGGGCCTTTAAAAAAATGAAATGTCACTTTTTACTATTAGAAAATCTTAGCCTTAAGTTATGACAATGAAAGTGACAATCAAAGCAAAAATTGAGAATCAGGCAAACGTGCCTGTCTGCACTGCACAGTTTTATGACATCTATAACAATCATGTTCACAAGAGCGTTCTCGCGGGCAAAATCAGCAAGAATTCTAAAATGCCTTATTTTAAAATCATAAAGTATTATTATATATACTGACTATTTATTCATGAAATATATTATTATTTTAGAAACTGTGAATTGCCGTTATGATGTTTTCTCTTCTTTTTCTTTTCTTCCCCTAATGATTTTCTATTTCCTTATTTTATCCTCATTATTCTCCTGCAAGTAATTCTTCTTAATTTATATGTGTACACTTACGGAAATTGACAAAATTCCATTGGTTTATAATCTTATTATTATTCCATTCTATTCAATATTCATTTATTCATTCAGTCAATTATCTTTTCATTCATTCATCCATTTTGTATTCATTCATTCATTCATTCATTCATTCATTCATTCATTCATTTTTATTTATTTATTTATTTGTTCGTTCGTTCGTCCGTCCATTCGTTCGTTCGTCCGGGCGTACATCCAATGGTTATGAGCTTCATTCCGTCCATAATCTTAGTTTAAAAAAGAAGAAAATTGGTTAAAAATTATTTATTTATTTATATTCATTTAATTATTCATTTATTTAATTATTCATTCATTCATTCATTTGTCAATATTCTTTATTATTATTCTTTATTGAAGGAAAGAATGCGTGTAATTAACTTACTTATCAAGATAGCCGTGACACTGGCGGTTGTGTACAGCTTACCCGTGAAAACCGTGAAGCGATCAACTGGTAAGATTTATCTGCCCATGTTTTTTGAATTATCAATATCTATTTTTGTTGAGCCCCGTTTCACAGCCATTTTCAAACTACTTTAATGACACAGTATATCATGTTATCATTTCTATTTCTCAAAAACGATTTATTTTCGATATCTTGTGACCGTTTCCAAAAACTCATTGCCATGATGATAACCAATCTTTTACTTCTTTTGCTCTTTTAACAATTGGTATAATAAAAGTGTATTTAGTATTTTGTATGAAAGTCAAAATACTACAGTAACTCTGTTAACATTTTGCTACCTATAGGACACATTACTGCACGTTCAGTGATAATTTCAAAACAAAGTAGTATTTTGAGTACTATACAAAATACTAATACACTATAATTACCTTGATTGCCAACAGATCAAAAGAAATAAAACATAGGTCAACACTATGCCAAATGATTTTTTTGAAACTGTAAGAAAATACCAAAAATCAATCATTTTTAAGAAATTTAAATAATAGCGAATATGAGGCACAATTGGTCTTGAATAAAAGAAACATAACAAAATAACTATGACCTCTTCCCTGTGTTTGTTCTTTCAGGCAAGAGTTGCCCCGAGTCTGCTCTTAGGGAAAAAAAAGAAAAAATATCTTTTCTGTGGTTGAAATTCTGCTAAGATATTATACAAAGTCCGTCCGTAGGACACTGAAGGACATCCTTGTTTAGGACAAGCTAGTTTAGTTTAATATAAAAAAAATCATTTTAGTTCGATTGTGTTGGAAGCCATAAGCTTATTGAAACACTCTCGAATGCGTTTTTTTTGGAACCAACCAGTACTAAGCAATGAATGTTAAGTTTCTTGCTCAAGGAAACAACGGCTTGCCCCTGACAAGACAAGCTAGTCAAAAAGTTAAAATATGAAGAAAAAAATGAAATTGACTTAAATAAAAACAAGCAAGAAGCTTTTAAAAGGCTATCATCAATTTATCAAATTTTGACGTTTTAAAAAATGAAAGTCAATTTTTGTTATAAATTTTATGGGTAGAACATCATCTTTGAAAATTATGAATTCAGTTTCCGGCTTCATCGCCGTTTGAAATGATCTTGACATTTGTAATCAAACGCAGTCTTTTCCCAATAAAATTAGATTGAAACGCTGTCGTTAGCCCGTTTTATTACAAGGCCTATTAATTTTCTGCAATGAAATGTTAAAGTAACGTTCTCTTTTTCCTCGTTGTAGAAAAACGCACGAGCCCACTCCTTGTTAAAATTGACAAGACGAATGCATTTCCTTTTTTATGGTTTCCTCTGAAAGTCTTTTTTTTTTTCAAATCGAATTGATAAAAACGTAGTACCCATGTCAGTGAAAATGTCATTAGAATTAATTGAATTACAAAAAAATATACGATAATAATCACTGTAAATCCGTTTCCGGTCTTTTATCACGGTGTATGACCGTACACCGGATATTTGTTACACTTGGGCAACATATTCTCTACATAATCGCAGTATACTAGACAACGAACCAGGCTATATAGTCTCTTGTTAGCAACGGTGATATTTCCTTTAGCAAAAGTACATCAAATATTGATTTTTTTGTTAATACTTGTATATGCCATAAATCAAGGGAAACATAAAAATAAAACCAGGTAAGATTGTTGCCATTTGAGCAGAGAAATCGATTTCCGGTGATTTGATCCGCTGCTGATACATAAATACGACACAAAACACATTGATATCCGGTGTACGGTCTCGTACGGTGTACGGGCAATTACAACATTTCGGTTCTTTCCGTAAATTCCCGGATAAGGACTGAATCATTTTTATGAATAATTCCAAGGACGTTACGATTGCAAATCACCTTTGCATTTATTTTCGATCAAAGTGCTTCTCTCATAATTTTCTCCCATCATAATATTATCTTTATTATGTCCCGCAAAAATATATAAATAAATAAAAACACCGCAGACATACATTTGTTGTTTTCTAAAAATCATACCTTTCTTTTCGTGAATCGACACATATCTGAAATATTGATGACTCCATTGCAAGTCTGTATGAAAATCATGTCTTATGTTTCCAAACTAAATGTAAAACAACTTGTATCTTCAACAATAAATACATGAAATAAATGCTACATTCCTTTTTATACTTTCGAAACTAAGATACATCGCCAAGTAATATGCACCAAAAATCCTATGTCCGTTCAAAGATTCATCCATATTAAACTGCACTCTCATCGGCTTTGGCAAGGGGAGCGGTGGCCGAGTGGTAAAGGTGTCTACCCCTCAACCCACAGATCATGGGTTCGAGCCCTACTCGGGTCATGACCATGTTTCTTCATATGAAAACAGTACTGGTTGGTTCCAGAAAGCGGACTCGAAAATGATTAATATAAGTTGCAAGAACTTGTTTCACAATCGAGCTTGAATAAATATGTTTAGATCGGCTTTAGCGACAATTACTGGTCACGTTTTAAATTCTATCTTTTGTACTATGTTCAAATGATGAGTTTGGAAGAAGTATCAAAACTGACATGTGTCATAAATTTGTTTATAACTTATACGTACACCTATTTTGCATTTTAGATTTAGACGCAGGAGAAATTACGGATAAGTTATCAAGACTGAAAAACCTAGTAAGTACATCTTGTGTGCAATTATATTCTTTTTTTTAAATACAAATTGATTCGAACTTAAATGCTTTTATAAACAGTTTAACCAGAAACTTGAATCTGTTTCTTTCATTGCGCATTTTGTTACACTATGGCTGTTTACCAATGACATTCACTGATGCAATCTCGGGAAATGAGTAACTAGGAGAATGTATTGTTGGCATTCAATTTTCATTTTACGAAAACGCATGTAGTTTAAAGTGTAATGAAATTAAAACTTTGCATCTGAAGATCGAGATTTACCATCAAGAAAAAGAAGAAAAAATACTTGATGTAGCTCTTTCAAAAATACAACGAATTTCTTTGTTATAGTCCCAATAAAGGAAGCAAAGACGTAATATTGGACTAATGGAAGTAAAGAATTGTAAAATACTACAATACAGGAAGCAAAGTATTGTAAAATTTATAAAAGGGACCAAAGAATTGTAAAAATTATTAAAAATGAATCAAAGAATTGTAAAAATCGAAATAAAGGAAGGAAAGTATTGTAAAACATCATACAAAAGGAAGCAACGTACCTTTTCATACAATTATTTACTTTTATATGTAAAATATGAGCACAAATGGACCTTATAATACTTATAAAAGGTTCGGTAGCATTTACATATCTACTTCTACATCGGCTTTTCAAAATTAATTAGTTATGTTATAATCTAATGAAAGATAGAACTGTGTCAAATGCAAGTCACGTATATTTTTCCACATGCCTAATCTATAGATATGTCCTTTATATGTTGATACAGCATAAAATGGTATAGATCGGTGTAAATTATAAGATATTAAGATATGCACATGTATTTTGCAAAGATTTGATTTTCATTACAGCTGGAAAGGCTAGAGGATGTCCAGCAAGCAAAAGCTAATTTAGAAAACAAGATGAAAGAAAGTGAAAGGGATCCGATAGAACATGGTGTTGAAGGGCTGAGCCGAACAGATAAACGTACAAATGCAAAAGCTGAACATGATGGCAATCGTGAACCTGAAGACGATATTATCAACCTAAAAATGCTTAATAATGTACAAAAAGTTAAGGTAATACTTAAATAAATCATAATAGTAAAACCCAATCGCAGCCAGAACTTTAACTATAAGATCATTATATATTTACTCGGGAATATTTCTAAAAATTACCTGAGATAGGTTAACAGACAAATGCTTCTTTTTATACGAAAGGACATTTTCTTTTTTATGGAAGAAATTAAAACAAAACTGACAAAAATATTATCAATAACTCCATATTCCAATAAGTAACGTGTGTACTGTTTTTGCTTGCAAATAGATGGCACTCTGAGCAACAAAAGGTTTAAATACAATATGTTTGACAATAGGTTTTGACGTCACATTTATTTAAGCTCAAATTTGTATCTACTTTTAACAACTCACATCATTATACTTTGATTTCAATTTATATTAGTAAAATAAACTGGGTTTCAATTGCAATTTGCACCTTTTTACTTATAAATAAGTTAAAATACAATTCTAGAAATTTTCAACATATTTATCTAAGCTTAAATATGTAGCACTTGAACAGTTAAGATATATTATAATTGAGCCGCGCCGTGACAAAACCAATATAATGCGTTTGAGACCAGCATGGATCCAGACCAGCATGCGCATACACGCAGTCTTATAACGATCCATGCTGTCCGCTTACCAACCCTATAACAAGTAAAGAAACTGATTGCGAACAGCATGGATACTTATCAGAATGCGCGGATGCGCAGGCTGGTCTGGATCCACGCTGGTCACAAACGAATTATGTTGGTTTTGTCATGGTGCGGCTCAATTATTATTTTTCATATTAAATTTTACTTTCCTTTTTCATTTAGTTGCTTAAAGAACTTGTCAAAGAAGCACAAAGCGTAAAAAGTGAAAGCATGGTAGACGAAGGTAAATATTTGTAGTTCTTTCTTTTCCGGGGCATATATTATTGCCATCGTTTAGGGGAACGTCGGAAGGGAGCACTGAGTCATACTTATCATCAAAGGGGGGGGGGGACTAACAGAAGCAATATCATATATAAATACAGTACATAAATTTGCACTTAGAAATATCAAGAACTACACAGAAAACTGAATTTACGGTTTCAGAAAGAACTGTATTTTTGATTTCAGAGAGTACTGTATTTTGGGTTTCAGAGTACTGTTTTTCCCATTTCAGTCAGTACTGTATTTTCAATTTCTGACTGTACTGTATTTTAGGTTTCAGACAGTACTGTATTTTCGGTTTCAGACAGTGCTGTATTTTTGGTTTCAGACAGTGCTGTATTTTTTTGTTTCAGACAGTACTGTAACTTCGGTTTCAGACAGTACTGTATTTTCGGTCTCAGACAGTACTGTATATTCTGTTCCAGGCAGCACTGTATTTTTTTTTCGGTTTCAGACGGTACTGTTTTTTTTGGTTTCAGACAGTACTGTATTTTCGGTTGCAAACAGTTTTGTATTTTCGGTTTCAGACAGTACTGTATTTTAAGTTTCAGACAGTTCTGTATTTTCGGTTTCAGACAGTACTGTATTTTAGGTTTCAGACAGTACTGCATTTTCGGTTTCAAAGCTTTCTTTGTTAAACATTAGGCGAAATTTTTGTTAAAGATATGAGTAAATTAAAGGTAATAGACAAAATTTAAAATGTCACCATAACCTGTCATCAATAATGAATTGCCCCCTATCGAATTCCCTTAGTAAGATTGAATTAATCTAATTTTTCATTATACCGGATTCCAATATGTTGAACATTAAATAAGTTGTATTAGTCTTTCATTATACCTTGTTTTTCAATAACAATATGTTGAAAATTGAAGAAGTTGTATCCAGTCTTGATAAATGCTAGGGGCATCAGAGAAATTGCTTTTACTATTGTGTTACGTAACCACATAAAAAAGTCAAAAGCAATCGAAACTGATTAACAATAAAGCAAAACAAAAGGATCGTAATGGTATCAGACTGATTTTAACTTCTCTTATCTAAGGTACATTTGCGGATACTGCAGTACCAGAATCAAAAGAAAGAGCGGATATTGTGGACTGGAAAGATCTGACAAAACGTCTTAACGATGAGACAGATAACATATATCAGCAACACAATAAACAAGGTGAGATACCTGTTCTAACAGTTTAAGCTACCATTTCAAATTTTATAAATCATGACAAATGTAAATAACTTTGTTTAAATTGTTTTCCCTTGGCGCATTTTTTTTTCTTTGTTTTTCTTTGTTTGTTTGTGGTTTTTTTTTTGTTTTTTTTTGGGGGGGGGGGGTTTGGGGGGTCTGTTTGTTGTTGTTATTTTGTTATTTCTTTTGCCTTTTTGGCTAGTTCTTCACACACACAAAAAAAACTGAATGGCAACAACTTTGTAAGATAAGAATCATTATGAAGCACATATTAAGCACAATAGACGCATATTTTAGTAAATCCTATTTATTAAGCACAAGAGCAGGCATCATGTTTTGTAAATACCTTTTCTAAAGCAAAAATTAAACATCAATGAGAAGCCGATGTAACTAGTATACTCCGAAACCACATACCAAATATTGTTTAAATAATACAAGCTACACTATGATTGTTATTTGTAGTGAACAGGAGAATGTTTCTAATTTCTGTACAACAGCTTAGGATGAATACTAACATAATTTAGTGTCAAGCTTTATTTGGCTCTTTATTACGTCACTACGCGGTACTATGAAGCACTATGAAAAATAGAAGGCGACTTTAAACGGAATTTCAATATAGTATCGACTTTTTTTCTTCTATGAAAATTAACACACATAATTTTTAAGAAATACAGCGTTTTCATTGGATGACAAATAAAGCTGGACACTAAGTATGATAAATGTTACTTAAGTTCATTACAATATACATGTATACTTATTATTGTCCTGTCTATGTATATGTTAGTGTTCATCCGTGCTGTTCTACAGAAATTAGAAACTTCGACGGGAGCGATAGCGACAGGAGAATGTTTCTAATTTCTGTAAAACAGCACGAATGAATACTAACATATTTAGTGTCAAGCTTTATTTAGCCTCATTATCATTCATTTTATTACGTCACTATGCGGTTTTATGAAGTACTATGAAAAATAGAAGTCGACTATGGACGGAATTCGATATAGTATCGCTTTTGTACTTCTATGAAAATTAACGCACATATTTTTTAAGAAATACAGCGTTTTCATTGGATGACAAATAAAGTTGGACACTAATCATTTTTAACATTTACAAATAACAAATGATAAACAACCACAAATGAATTTTCCAGATAAAAAGCCAGTTCATATAGAGACAGAAACTAAAGAAGGCACGTTTGGTGAATTCCGAGATGAAAGTAAGATAATATCAGATGTTCTTGCATTACTGTTGGCATTTGACTCGATTCTTGATTTTAAATGTGTTGAAAATTGAGCACCGCTCAAGCCGGTGCTAGAGGGCATGAGGGGTGTTGCGCTTTTACAGTATCCCTCATGTACAGACTCAATCAAAACCGATTTTACAATTTTCATGTTATTTTGCTGATTTTGAATAATGCAGTGCAGCGTCATACTAATTTTGTCTAAAAGATCTTTTTCATAAACTGTGCAGCTATCTTTCAGCCTACTCAAATTGCTACGGAAGATAATTACATAGTTTTAATGTTGTTTTCTATTCTAATGTTTTCATTATGTTTATCTAAACATTTCAAGGAGTAAATGTTAAATTAGAAAGAAAACTATATAAGAGGGGAGCATTTATGTTAAGACAGATTGATATTTTTATTCAAACAGCGAAATCAAACCCAAACAGTAATGAAAGGATCCTACATATGTGTTTAAACCCGATGAAATACCCATGTCAAAAGAAATTTTTAACAGAAATGAATAAAAAAAAACTTAACAAATTTGGGAAAAAACTTCTTTTAAAAAAATAAAAAATTGCCCATCTGGGTTTGATTTGCAAAAAATCATCTATTTTATTTTGGGGCATCAAAAAATGAAATGGAAATACATTATCTGTCTTATTTGTTGAAGAAAAAGGAAGAATAGATTATACAACATAACTGGAACTTTTACTTAAAGAATTTGAAAAGATAAAATTAATGCTTCATTGCTTAATTGATTATATGTGAACACTTTATATTCTATTAACTACATACATCGAAGAAAACACTTAATTAGTTGTTGAAAGAAACGACCAATGGCATTAGTAAGGCATTATGCATAAGTAGTAATATGTATAAATGGCGAACGCTTGGTTGTATATCTGCTATTTTTATTCCAGTAAAATATGCCGTAGAGAAAAACCTGCTTACAGATATTGCTCTGGCCATTCATAGTGGCATAAGTGTAGATGAAATCCTAAAAGACCTTGTCGCAGAAGGTAGGTAATAGTTTACGACTCCAGGCAAGACCCGTTGCTAATGTTGAGATAACTTGTGGGTCAACCCTATTGCCAAATATGTCATGTCATTATATTGTAACTGTTAACATGCATGTATATGTCCTATTTTTTGGCAATGAAGTATGTTTAAATCAATAGTTCACGACTAATTGATCCCCCTTGCCATATTCCCGTACAATGCGATAAAGTTCGATGAAATAATCCGATATCTAATATTACCTTTATAGTTACTGTTATAGTTTTGTACATATTTTGTAGTCATTTTCATTATAATTCCTTGCTTATATTATTCATACTGAATAATTTTTATCGTTTTCGAGATATAATTACAGTCATATAATTTTTATTTTTAAAAAGTGAGTACTTTTGAGTTATTGTTAGCTCATGTATATTTTATTTACCAACAGGAAATGCGAGAAGCCCCGATGTTGTTTGGGCTAAAAGAGACAGGGACTGATGGACGTTTTACAATTCATGTGCATTTGTTTCTACCTGCAATTTTACATAGTAAATGTCCAGAAAAAAATCGTGCAATTTTTAGCAATTCTTGAATAAACTATTGTATTTTAATATTTATATTATATTGTTAGGTTTAAATGCATTCATTTTGGAAAAAAAACTTTGTTTATTACGGACATCAGAATGATTTTGACAGTTCTATAATATGAAGATTAAGCCACATTATGTATACAGATATTGGTTATATAGTTCGTATATTAATGTCAATCTGATTAAAATCAGCTCCTAATAAACGCTATGCATAAGGATCTGACGACCACCAATAGGATGTCACCTTCTCGTGACCTTTTAAACAGCCAATCATCGGTGAGCTTTCATAGTTTTTACTGCTGAAAAACCAATACTGAGAAGTTAACAAATACTGTGGCAATCAGATCTACATGTAAGAAATAAGTAGATTTGAACTTGAGACAGATTTAATAAAATATTGATGTATAATTCAATTTGCTTGCCGTACATCATGTTAGAGTATTTCATCATTGAAAACAACTGCATTCCTTTATCGAAAAGAAAATGTTACTGATTTACTTTAGACTAGAAACATTAAAATTTATCTGAATTTTTTAGCTAAAGAATGCTTTTGGTTATTTTGGGCAAATACCTTAACATTTTATCTTATTCTTTAAAGAAAAAATATTATTGGTGTATTTTGAAATATGAAACATTAAAAAATCATTAAGATTTCAAATACGCATTATAATAGAAATGTGCTGTTTAAAATATACATTCCTGTATATATGACGTAGAAAGTTTGTCGCATCCTTTCATGAATAAACATGATAAAAAGATAATGCTCTCTAAAAAATTTAAATGTACTCAAAAATGAGTGACACTCTTTAACTTTTTTTTCAATTTCCAAAAAAATTGTATTTGATAACCGTCTGCTTTAGTCATTTATCTAAATATCTTAAAGGTTATCGATTCATTCGACACCATCCCTTCCCCCGCCCACTCCTTATCCAGTCTTCCTGCACTACGCAAAATTGTCAACAACATTACTACATTTTCACTTTGTGAAAACAAATTTTTTATTGTACCTGATTTTAGTACATATATCGGTAATACATCTTATCGTGTGTTTTTATTCTTCTTTATTACATATTGTTATTTGTCGTTGATGTTGTACCAATTGTTTTATAAAGTTTCGGTTCCTGACGTCATATTTTCATTTTTGAACTGTTGAACTTTGCAGTAGTAAACATTTGTTTCATATTTTTTTTTAAATCCGTACCAAGCTAAAGTTAATACATGGACCAATCTAGTCATCATTTTGAAAGCAGCATGCCTCTAGATTCATGCTTATTTTTAGAAATTTTTTAAAACGTATTTAAAAGTATAATATTGTGAAGTAACCAAAAGTAAGCAATTAGCACGTTATCAGTGACACAACCCCAGTAAATTACAAAAAAAGGTAAAATCAAGCGTTAGTAACAGAGTTGAAATATAATTATCAATACGGAAAAAACAGTCAATAATCGAATATAACATACATGTACTTATTATTACTTGATTCTTGAATCTTTTTACTTTTTCTCAAATCACAGTACACTTTGATTTTATTCGAATATTTTGGCTCATCCGGAGGGCTGTAGCTTTAAGGAAATATTTCGAAATAGAAATACAATTTTTTTTTTCAAAAAATATTCTTTTTTTTTTAATATTAAGAATTTTTGTATAAAAATAAAGGTGTTTTAATTTGAAATTATATGCATTCATATTCGATAAAAGGTGTAACGCATTGACTAAACATTTATGGCATCGTTGTATCGTTGCCAGTCTTATATAAAAAAAATGAATATCTTCACTTAAAAGTCTTACAATTTTAACATTAGCTATTCATTTTAATTGTCCGTTTTAATACAGACTATACAGACTATGTTAAGTTATTGTTTTCAGTTATTCGACTTAATTGTGGATTAAAATAAATATATACTATAAGTGTTAAATGTATGTTTTCTTTTTTTACTTCGGCTGTACGTCACACCGACACAGTATATGTCATTTGGCGACGTTCCAAGGAAGACCTCAGGTGCCCCTCCGTGCATTTTTTCAGTAGTACATGTTCTTATTTTAGAAACGTCCCTTCTCGATTTCAGCAATAATACTAGTAATCTCGAACGCTGGAATTTTTTAAAGGTCAAATAAGTTTAGCTAGGCTAGGCTAAAACGGTTATGGTAAGTCTCTCATGTACTTTGATACCATAGGCCCGAGATAAAAAAAGAAATAAATCCTTCAAATAGCTACAGTAAGGATAATACTCGAAACCGTCCGAATGATAAAGACGCTGTTCAATGTGAATATAAAGCACATGATGAACGTATTAATGTTCTTCTCTTCCCCTCGGAGCTTGAACGTCGCAGGAAGGCACAGGGCTCCGGCAAAACATTTGGAGAACTTAGGATGGTGAAAAATAAATCAAAGCCTTAAGTATGGTACGGACCGTCTGGTGAAATTTCTTATGTTCTGATATAACTCGAACTAAGTTGATTCAAAAAGCAATTAAATCCCTTAAAAGGATTTTACTATTCACTAATGAGTATTTTTCTGTTTTAAATGTAAGAAATTTTTAAGTTTTTAGGCAATTGGACCTCGTTGGAGTCTTTTTATTGTCAAAAGGAAGTCGGTATAGGATTTCATTAATATACAGAATATCTATGATGGGCAATTTCAAATATACTTGTCTATTGACAATATTTGTGAGCATTGCTTCAAAGTTGCGTTAACACTTTAAATAAAAGTGGGAGTTTCAAACGGGTCAAATAAGAGTCCTTTTCTAAGTAATTTGTTCGACACTTCCCTGATGAAATTCTTCATCTTGTACGTTTTTACAAGATGGGCTAAGATTTCTTTTTCAAATTAACTCAAGACTTAGTTAGTTTTAAATGTTTTGTATTCCGATTGATAAGGTTGGTATTCAAATAAAATTTATTTTGCGTTCAAGAAGTCCGTTGGGTGGTGGTCAGATTGTCAAGCTAAAGAGTCTTAATTAAATACATGTAAGCCATTATTTATAAATAAAACGCACTTTCCAGCTTAACTGGTGAAGGAAGAATTCAGCCCCCACCCCTCCCCCGCCCCCGATTTTTACAGAAAGGGAAGAGAAAGTAAATTTACGCTGATTTGAGCGTTGAAATCATGTACAAGCCAAATGTTTCATTCATTGTCCTTTTAGGGGGACGAGTCACCATTTAAAAAAACTGAATACTACCATTACTCACGACCGCTTGTTCAAGTGGTTTATAGGTCAGACTCTGGTACGGATTTTCCCATAGATTTAAGTTATGAGGAATGGTCCCTAATTCTACCTTAAAATTGAGTATTCGTGCGTGCAAGATGATTTTTCTAGGCGAATGAAATGCCTGACACATAAAAAATGATCTTGTTACATAGGGCTAGCCAACCAATTATTTGGCAAAATGATTACCCGTTTCATTCAAATTTTCTGCTGATCACAGGACTGACATACACCTTTTTTCAATGATAAATATCAAGTCTACAGATTATCCATAGCTGAGTATGAGAATATTCAATTTCTTCGGTGAAAGATATTGGTTGTTTTAATTGACACTTACAACTTAATATATTTCCTTCAATCACTCATGTCCCATTGAATCTTCAACTGCAACTTTTCAGCCAATGCTCGGTCATTTTACAATACTGATAAGTCGACAGACACTGCTGCTCGAAACTAAACAGCTTCAACAACAAAAGACGAGAAGGACAAAAATTCATGATTCTGGTGTTTCTAGTTACCTGTCAGTCGGTTATAATGATTAACACGTTAACAATAAGACAGTCTGACCTAAATAGTGGTAGACAGTTGCGCAAAAATAATAGTTGGCACGAAATCCATTTACACTGGTTCAATATTTGTCGTTCGGTATATGACTGAAATTTCATTAAAAAAAACTCAAATACATGTAATCAAACTTTTAATTGAGTCAAATACTGAATAAGGCGGGGTGGGGTATAGTGTGGTAGAGCAAGGCGAGTTCTTTTTACAAAAAAAAATCATATACAACGTTTCCATTACCATTTTTATTATCAAAAATTAACATGTGTGTATAAGCATATATATATAATGCGTGCAAAATCAGAAAACATGTATATTCATAAATCTCTTTTTGATTTTCATAATAATTCTTTATGTAGAAAGACAATTTCTTTTGTAATATCTTATATGATATGAAAGTTGGCACAACACTAATCAATATTTTTCCCCTATCGAAATTCGAGTTTTGATGAAAAAATTAAATAGAGGATAGGCTATTGAATGAGTGTAAGTTCAATACTGAATTTATTGCACGAGTTGAATAAAATTATATTATGCGAGCCTCTGGCGAGCTGAATTTATTGCACGAGTTGAATAAAATTATATTATGCGAGCCTCTGAAGAGCATAAAATTAATTTATACAACGAGTACAATAAATTAAGTAAGGAACTTACACGGATATAATATTCTATTTATCACATACCCAAAATAAAGACCGTTTAAAGTGAAATAACATTTAGCGCGTCTTTACACTATGTTTGTATAACGGCTAATTTAATGACGTCACGTCAAAATATATGCACGGCCGTGCAATACCATTTTTACGGAGTCGCAAAATCGGCACGGGTGTGTGATAATGTGAATTCTGTCATATCGATGTAAAATTTGTTTTCTTTCTACGATCGAGGTTTGGTAGAAATAATTGACTCTCTTTTCCTGCCTTTATTTAATTCAACTGTTTTTTTTTTAACAATTATTGGCAAGAAGAGTCAAAATATTGCAAATATAAAAATAAAAATACAAAAGAGGTAAATTTACCATAACAGTTTCAAAACATACTGGTAAATTTGTTTCAAAAAATCTTGGTCAGCGTGAAAATTTAAGCTTAAACATATTTTTGATTTGAAAATCTTGTATGAAAATATTCAAAACATTTGTGTTTTATTACAATGAAATCAATGTATATCGTTTACAAATACAAATACGATAAATGATCTTACAAAATGTGTCATGGGCTTGGCATTTAATTTGCCGTATAGGTAAAGTGGAAGTAAGAAATTAAGAATTAAAAATCATTCACATGCAAAATTGTTTACTTGCAATAACTTACAATCTCTTTAAAAAGCCTCCAGATTCATGCCAACTTTCAAGAAAATTGTGAAAATGTATTTCAAAGAAAAATATTGTGAAGTGAACAAAGAAAGTAATTTACTCATTGCAAACGGCCCTTACAATCCACGTAAATTACTAAAAAGAAGTCCAAATATGCAAAAATAGTCATTACTATGTTAGAAACGCAGCATATATATGGTGATAAATACTTAAAAATTAGTTAATATTTGCATATAACAAGTAAATTATTTCTTGAATTGTGAAAATTTTTATTTTGCCTAAAATCTTATTACATTATTTTCACTAAGCTGATTTTCTTGAGGCATGCAGCCTTAAGAGCAAAAAATGTAATAATAAAAGTAATTGCAAAGGGAAGAAGTTTAGTTTAAATCACTGTGTAGGCCAAATGCGGGAACGTGGCATAACACGACTTTTTGTTTTCATATCATAAATTAATAAACTAATAACAATATGGTTAACATGTAAATTAATTCAAATAGTTAAAATATGCAAAAGACATTTTCTTAATACAAAAAATACAAAATACATGCACAAATACGAGTATATCTATCATCGCCGTCAGGCAAAATGGCGCAATGACAGTGATGTCATAATTTCTTCAACATAGATAATAAATGCATCGAAAATATTATAAATTTAGGTGCACAGATACACAATATACGGACAAATGTACTGTAAGGATACTGAAAATAAACTCTGGAATGATTCTGACATTAAACTGGAATGATTCTGACAAGTAATTGAAATTATACTTGACAATAAACTTGAATGATTCTGACAAGTAATTGAAATTATACTTGACAATAAACTTGAATGTTTCTGACAATTATCTGGAATTATACTTGACAATAAACTGGAATGATTCTTACAATTATCTGGAATTATACTTGACAATAAACTTGAATGATTCTGACAATTATCTGCAATTATACTTGACAATTAACTGGAATGAGTCTTACAATAAACTGGAATGATTTTTACAACATACTGTAACGACATATTAAGGCATATATATTTTTTAAGCATTCTGATATTTAATCCAATATGTATCGGTTTAAAGGCGTATGTGACATGAATGTCAAATGGGGACATTTAAAGTAGCACGGTCCATTTAGTTTTAAATGTTTGGAGCAAGCGAAATATAAAAGCCAGAGTTAAAATTAGCATGAGAATTGAATCTCGTTCCTGCGATAAGTGTCCAATGTAAATATACTTATTTCAAAAATCACAGAAGTTAATTTATACCGAATTACTTTAGTTCGCTTGTGCAGGAAACTTTAAGCTTATAGACACACTTTCGAACCCGTTCCTGGAACCAACCAGTACTGAGCAATGAGTGTAAAGTTTCCTGCCCTAGGTAACAACAACTTGCTTCTGACGGGGTTGAGCCCAATGCGGCTAGCGATAATTAGACTGCTAGTCCGACATGTTAACCACTCGACCATGTCCACACTTTAAATCGCAGTATTTCAAAGCTGGTATAGTAATGCTTTTGGCATCTTTTTGTCTGTCATGATTATAAACAAGAGCTGTCGGTAGGACAGCAACGCTCGACTATTCTTAGTGCTTGATAGTAAATACAATGCTTTGATACAGTTACATCCTCCTGTTTACAGGTTGGGGTCATGATGGTGAACAAGTGTGCAAGTTTCAAAGCCATATGTCAATGGACTTTGAAAATATTTGAACTACATGTATTACAAAAACTTTAACTTAAATTCTAAGTCGAAAAAGGGGCATAATTCTGTCAAAATGCTTGGTAGAGTTACCTCCTCCTGATTACAGGTTGGGGTCATGATGGTGAACAAGTGTGCAAAGTTTCAAAGCCATATGTCAATGGACTTTGAAAATATTTGAACTATTACAAAAACTTTAACATCAGTGATTTCGCCGACGCCGACGCTCGGGTGACTACAATAGCTCTACTTATTCTTATCGAATAGTCGAACTAAAAAATACTCAAACATAATAGCATATCAACTTGAATATATACAGGTATATAAATATTAAAACAACGTCAAAACATTCATAAACGAAAACAATTATCCAAAAATATAACATAAATGCATGTACATTTTGTCAAATAAACACGTAAATTTCCATATAAAATGGTAAAAATGTTATTGCATAAAGAAAGTTAACAAACATATAATGAGTAAGGTTTTGAGATCGTAATAAATGTCAAATTGTTTGTAAGTTTTGAGATTGTAAACAATTACACATATTATAAAAATGAAAGACAATGTACAACTTAAATAATTCAATTAAGTCAATGCCCGTAAAGTACGTGTATATGCATACAGCGTTGAGTATTTACAGCTCACAAATTAAACAAAATCTGTTCCTAAATGCAGTTATGTAATAAGATGCGAGTTTTAGTCAGACGGACATATCCCTGCCATGGAAAATGACACCCATGGGATTTTTTTTAGCTCAGTGGGAGAAAATATCAAATTATAGAAAGCGTCCATGATTTTTTTTTACGATTCATAAAGAAAAAAATGGTAAATATAGCACGCAGAGTCGTTCACCGCTATAATTCTGAGATTTAATATTGATAATCATACTAATTGTATCCAGTTTCTTCAGTATCTTAGTATTTCCAATGAACTATCACAATTAATTACAGTATTTAAGTATTTCTCATGTTTTTTTCGATATTATAGATTTTTGTTTAAACATTTGGTCTTAACATACTTATGTGAGAAAAAAACTCGAAAATGTGAGATTCCTCGATTGGAGCCAATGAAAGCAACACAATTACATGAAAATTGTAGCCTCGGTTTTGCCGGCGATATATGGTCCTGGATTAAGTTTTCTTCATTTTTATCCGATATTTTTTTAATCCTCCCAGAGTATGAGATAAATACTATATCATTTTAGGTAAAGTAATTCTATACATAAAGCAATATATATATATATATATATAAGCGGGATTCTTAGCTATAACTAAAGTAGGCATTCATCAACATGTATATGAAATCATCAAACTTAAGAAAACGTCAGTAAAGATGTATTCAAGTAAATCTTCAATAAAAAAATTTTTTATCATGTACAAGTCTTATTCAGGTTCAAGATTAATCGAAAGTAAATAAAAATTACCCTTTCTAAACTAAAAGGAGCCACTACAAGGCAATGACCACCCTTGACTTTTTCTTATTTCTAAAGTCAACCACGCCAGAAAAAAATAGTAGTAAAGACTACTCCTACAAAACTGATTTTTTTGTAACTAAAAAACACAAATTTCATATTGGATCTGGTGGACAGGTCAGTTCAAGGTCAAGCTCAAGTTTGAATTAAGCATCATGTTGGGTTTGAAATACGCATTATTTTATCCGAGAATGAATAATTTGTCCTCAAATGACAAAGTTACGACAACTTCAGCAAATTTCAATAATTAGACATTGACGGTCAATTTTTTCCACTTACAACTTTTTCAATAGTTAAATTATCTGACTTATTTTGAATAAATCTTAAATTCATATTTCACACCATTTTCTTCCATTATCTTTCCTTTATTAGGATGGTTCCTGAAAAGAAAAAAATACGTGTAAAAAGATAAGCACGATTAAAATATCTTGAAGGTGTTGACCTTATGGTTGTTGTGGACAATCAATTTATCAATTGCAACTTCTAATTATAGCAAGTTCTGCCAAAAGTCTAGAAGAATTCAATTACTTGATCTTCAAGGTCAATACCGTTTATGAGTCAAGTCAATATTAATTTGATTCACTTAAAGGTTTGGTTTTAAACTTTCCTGTGTCCAATTAAGACAATCCATTGTGAAATAATAGACTTATATATAGGTAGTTGCCCTATCAAACATTTTACCATGAATGTCAAGGTCAGTCTTGTTCAAAGGGTTGATATGTCCAAGTATAAGGCCAATTCATTGAGAAGTAAAAAAAGAATATGCTGAACGTGAAAATGTTTCAGACGGCAACGGCATCGGCAACAGAAACAATAACAACAACAGCGGCTACGTCAACGACATGACTGTAGCAATAACTCTTTATGAAAAAATCGACTTACAAAACCAAATATAATTACCACTCAATAGATAACAGCGTAGAGAGGACAACATTCTCTTATTTAAATATAATTTCATATAAGTTTTCCGGTGTTTACTTACTGAACTTCCTTGAATGAATCGTCAAATTGTGGGAAGAAAGCATCAGATGGGAAGTCTTTGTACACGTGTGTTAGAAAAAGTCGACCAAACTGTGGATGACGGAGAGCCTCCTATTGGATAAACCAGTCATTCTATATTTAGAACGTCAAATGGGAAAAAGTTTGAATTGAAATGTCTTTGAAGTTTCAATTGATGGAAAGCTACTTCCTTGAAAATATGCAATACATACACATTAAAAAACACATTTCCAAAAGGTCTTTCCTAAAAGATATTTTAATAACACATAAAGTTCAACTCAAACAGAATAACATGTTACAATGATAACAAAATATCAATATATTCCCAAGCAATTAAAATCGAATTAAACACTGATTTCGCGAATACATGTGCAAATCATACAAAATAAACAAACATTTGAAGAACAACGCTGATTTTATTTTTGAAACGCGGCCGAAAAAGTCATTAGGGAGCGTAATTTTTTACAGCAATATATACCTCTTATATATATAATCTAACCTCATAAATGCTAGCACCTCCCATGATCCACACACTGTCGACTTCATTTTGATTGTCTAACTGATTTACTTCAGACATGGCAGCTTGAAACGTTTGTACAACTTTCAAAACATTTGGACTGTTACAATCTCTACAAAGTATACAACAATTGGATATAAATAGTTACCTCGTATGTATTCAACAATCTTTGGGATGATTGTCATGCCATTATATACTTAACAATATTTTAGCATTTATATCCGTACACCGCCTGCCCTAAGCCAATCATAATGGGGAAATTAATACCACAATAATCACAAAATGTATGACAGAAGAAAAGGGGGCGCTTATGGAGCACGCCATCCGTCATGAATTTTGTCGGGTTACCTATATATACTTCATGTACCATGTTCGATACCATTACGTAGGCTCTGGTGTGTTTGGTTAGTTTAATTGATTGGGTTTTACGTCACACCGACACAATATATGTCATATGGAGAGGTTCCAGCTTTTCAGTTAAAAACGTGTTGACCACTCTATTGAAAACAAGTGTGCACCTTACATTAACGGTATAAGTTTGTAACCTTGGATTAGATGGGGAAACCCAACATATGCAAGGTTAATAAAAAACAACAACAAAAAAAACTGATTCCTTATTGACTAAATTAGTTTGGTACAACTCATATTTCTGATTGAAAAGGTAAAGAAACAAAACTTATACTTTTCCGTCCAAGTGGTGCTGACAATAATGGTGTACACATTGGGAGCATTACGTTCAGCCTCACCTGCAACCAGCCAGGTCTTTCTGCCTCGAATTTGAATAATCTTTTTATTTCCCGCTATCAAAATAAATGACATTTAATTAAACAACTCTGCAAAACTTTTCTCTTTTTTTTTGGTACGAAATTGCAAGAAATGTTGTAATATTTAGCTGACATTATACTATTGAACAAGACAATTTGTGCACCCTTTTTTCGATATTTCGCATCATGTAACGATTTTATTACCTTTGAACTTTTACTGAATAACTTAAAACTCGGAATGCATGCCTTGTATGACAATTAACGTTAAAAGGATTGAACCAAATTGAAAATGGTGGTAAAAACACTAACAAGTGAAGTTTTGAAGGAATTTAACCAGTAATTACTTATTTCATCGAAAGTGACAGAAAATTAATACGGCATAATTTCCGAATCAGTGGTGAAAGACAAATGACCATTGGATCGTTAAACATCGGCTCTTTCCGTATACTTCGAGAAAGAGAACTCGTCTATGTACGAATACGCCAAAACAAGTCGCACCGGTTATAAGGCAAGTGTTCGTTCGCGAGAAAGTAAGACACTTTTTTTCTATGCCAGATTTAGAATGGAAATTGACAGTCATCAATTTCAAAATATATCTGTTAATCTTTCTTCCACTGTTTAAAAGAAACATATATCTCTATCACTTTGGCCATGGAGGCAAACATTATATCATGTGACCGAAAGTAGTTCCAATATGACGCCTTATTACGCCAATGGTCTATTGCGAAGAATTTAGCCGATATTAGATTGTAAGACGAACGGACGTTTTGTATTTAAATGACTATCAGCACGCACAAGCGTAATTCGAGCAGCATTTCATATTATTTATTTTTTAATTAATAAGGTTAATATTGTATTCAGATTAACTGTCATTCGGAAAAATGTCTAAATTTTAAAACAAGAGGAGAATAATATAACCTACCATCACGTGACTGACTCCTCAATGTTGAAACACATGTAGTGTAGTATTCATAATCTTGCCTGTATATAATCAAAAGAAAGAAATCTTAGAAGAAAGAAATCTAAGTGGTTTCCTTTGTTTTTCCATTTTTGCCGTTGTAGTGTCATCAATTTTTTCTATTGTAATACAGTCAGACTTAAAGAATCGAGTACGGGTATTGTGGGGGCTTGGTTCTTGACACGTCAGACTGGTAATTTAAGGTTCGAACCCCAGTAGTTACTAGTATTTGTCATTTTTATCGGAAGTGTACAGCATGGTAGCCAATAAATGAATCGTATGCAAAACGACAATTGAAACTTTAGAGACATATGTCCTTAACCTGAGGTCCGCCAGGCTATGATATATATTAGCCTTGTAGTTCTAGGTCCTCAAAAGAATAATTCTACATCGCAAATATAAAGCTCAAGGCTTATAGTTCACACAAAAAAATCAAAGTGTCTTGCTGCATATTTTGATATAAAATAAGTGGCCCAGAACTAAGTTCAATACAGCATCCTGCTTTAACTTTTATAAAGGGACCACAAGGTGACGCTTCAGGTAACATAGCAAAACGTATGGCAAAACAGATTCTGGGGAGATTTAAGTCTGTTTTCCATATAAGCGAAATGGACAATGCGTAAAGTCATCCCGGAGAGAGGCCATTTTTGACCCCAGGGACAAAATATATATTATTGTTGTAGATGTTGCCTAGGCAATGCTTCATCCCAAATATTTAAGTTTTAAACATGTAGTTTCAGAATCGATTTAAATGCCATGTCTTATAGATCATCCATGGATGGAACCAGTTTAATCCTGGGAAAATGTGTTATAACACTTTTATTAGAGATTCACAAGGTGATGCTACAAGTCAAATATCAAAGCACTGGGATTTTTCAAATTTATTTTAATTTCTTTATTTTGTTGTGGAAAAGACTACTGATTGCCTCCTTTAAGTCAATGTTACCAAGGTAACCCCAGAGAACACAACGATATAATTGTCGAAATTTAAGGAAAAGCGATACATGTCAAATATCTAAGGGCTTTTACATGTTGTTTTGGAGAATAATTTGTTAGATATTGATTTTTATTTTACATTTAGCTCTATTTATGAAGATGATAGTATTGTGAGAGATTTTATCTTATCTTTAGCATACGATATTTTGAAATTATGACTCACTATGGCTGCCAGGGGAGGTAATTAGACAGACAGAATTCCGACACCAGTTTAAGGGGTTATGGAAACGTTTTATCCTTCATTGTGAGAGTTTTAGATAGATTTGAGAGGGTACGAGAGACAATAAAATAAAAATGTTTCAGAAAGCTAATACAACAATGTTAAGGCGATCCTATGTTTTCCATAACATGCCATTATAATAACTGTAGCCTTTACTTATAGACGATAATACCAAGAAAAAAAAACTCACTTAAGACTTGGCCATGGAAGTTTCATTTTGTAACCTATACCTCTATTACCGTCACACATTGCAGCCATGATGTCAAATTTGATTGGTTCTTTTGGGGCTGCGCATTCAACTGGTCCATTTGTCGGCATGCTCTTTTAGTAAATACAAAAGGTATGTAAATAAAATTAGATGTGAATTTAAAATTTGTCAGTTTATTTTCAGCAACATTTGGAAATGGCTTGTTACAATGGTGAGTTATAGTGTTAATGTGAATGGGTAACTATGGGTTTCATGGGAGCGACATACATGAATAGAAATAAATTTCACGTTATAGTCCTGACAAACCTTTGTTAAAATTACACAGCCAGGTCAGCCTGTATGTCCGTGCAGAATGACTAGGTTCTGTACTCCTGGTTGTTTAGTTTTGTCTATTTTGATATAGAATTCCCTTAATTTTGTTACTGACCTCCCTTAACACAAAATCATCACTTTCAAGTTATTCAGTTATTCATGTTATTGCCCCGATGCAAAACTTGATAACAATCCATCGCCTTAATTAAATTTTTTTTGAATCAACATAGACATGCATGTTCCATAAAATTTGACATGAGAAGACCTTAGTATTGATTAAGGCCCAATGACACAAGAATGGATGACATATTTATTCAATCAAGGTTGAAAGCAAAATAAAAGCATAGGCCAAAAACCTAACCAGCAAATCCCACTTCTCCTTGTCTACATAGCTTATACCAGAAGCATTAAAAGCTAGAGGTGTGCTGCTATGGAATGAGTCTAAATTGTGCATTTTACATGTATATACAACAATCGAGCTGTGCAATGTTTATTTTATAGCAAAGCATAAATTTACATTTAAAAAATGAAAACTGAATACAATAAATTAGCATAAAACAAAGTACAGAAAACAAAATGTCAAAATAGTTATTTATTGAAAACCAAATCTACATTTATGCTTAAAATAAAGCAAGCTTACATGTCATGGTGTGAGATTTAACAATGTTGTTTTGATGTTTGAAACCAAAATAACTTAATATCTTGCTAACTTACAAGTTTAAAAAAGCACATTATGCCTTAGAAATACATTATTATTAAATTCTTTAGAAATTGTCAAATATATGTTTAAATAATGTTATAATAATGGATTTAGAGCATTATTTATTTCAAGTTTAACAAATGAGCAAAGTAGTGGTGAATGTTAAGTAATGTGTCTTAAAACTTTAAAGGTAGCAAAATGTAAACAAAGTGGTATTTTGACTTCCATACAAAATACTTATTCACAATAGATATACCAATTACAAACAGAGCAAAAGAAGCAAAAAATAGTTTATCTATATGGCAAATGAGTATTTTTTTGGAGACAGTTACAGAATATCATAAAAGGATGTTTTTTTAGAAATAAAAATGATGGCATAATGGGCCTTTAAACACCAAACATATATCAAGATACGAGTATTATCAGTTGCTTTCATAATAATATGCATAATTGTAGTCAAAACATCCAAATACTTTAAATTCACAATTTTATCTACAATTATTTATTTTTGAACACATGAAAGATCCTGTATGTTGTAATTTAGGTTGCATACCACACTCAAGTGAAATTATGTATGTATATAATTATGCTTATAAAACAATTTTCAAACATCGAAGAATATGTTATATATGTACTGCAAATATTTGTACATATTATACTAATCATTAAAACATATGCATTCATTTCTTTTTGAAAAATTTGACTTAGAATTTATAGAAAATATGTTTTTTATTACCTCCCTTTATTTACATGAAATATTAAATTCAGTAATATCTTTATAAATAATGCTTTTTGGATCTTAAAAAAATTTATAAATCTTAATTTGAGCATTATATTTATGATATAAAACCATAAAAATATTGTGTTACAGGATATTTGACATTACATAGGTCAGCAAGAAGAAAAACAATTTTAATATAATAATATATATGGCATGTGAAAGACAACTGTTTTTGAACACATTTGACTGTCAACAATTGATTTTGAACACATTTTGCAAGGCGATTTCAATTATATGATAACAAATTAAGACAATTAACAAATATTTTTGAACACATGCATGATCAATTTTATGATATCAAATTAAGACAGTTGATAAATATTATTAAACACGTGTATGGTATAATTATGGTTAACAAAATGGTGTTTTTAAATATTTGTCAACACATATAAGACAATATACAAGTACTTAACATTTTGACGCATAGCTCATTCGGTTAGAGCGTGAGACTTGTAATCTCGACATTGTGGGTTCGATTCCCGGGCTGGCCAACTAAAATAACTAATCAGTATTTCTGATGAGACTTTAAATCAAAGTCCCGTGTATGAGTGCTTGAGAAGTGATAAAGAAGCAGGAGAAACTTCAGAAACTGAGGCATCTATTTGTATCTGTATATTACACTATCCTCCAAAGTATAAAATGACTAATACTCTTCTGGAGGACTCGCCCATATGGGCAACCGGTGGCGAGTATATATAAAGGCAAAGACACAAAAATTAACATTTTGAACACATGGCAAGTGAGAGACAACTATATTTGAACACTTTTAAACATGATGATCGTAATTATTTTTGAACACATTTATGACCATAGGCATAACATTTTTAAAACTTATGGCAAGTGAGAGACAACTATATTTGAACAAATTTTTACATATTGATGGTTATTATTTTTTTAACACATTTAAGACTATAGACAGAACATTTTGAACACTTATGGTAGGTGAGTTTCAAACTATATTTGAACACATTTTAAAATGGAGGAGTATGAGAAAATAAATATATTTGAAAACCTTGATGAAAACACACAAAATCTATATCTGATTGTATTTCAAAATTTCAAGTAAACTTGAAAACAAATACATTTTGTAGATTACTTATTACTTATTTTTTAGATCAGATACAAAAGCCAAAATAATGCATAATTCCAAATAAAGACAAAATCCATTTTTTAATAACTTACTTAAAAGAAAAAGAATAACAAAATTTTCAAGTAAAATGAAAACATAATTATCCTTGTAAATCAAAAGAACCAAAATAATGCATCATTTTACCATGTAGTCTGACCCGGGCTCTTTACTGGTGTAAGCTATATTTTTGTATTTTGATACTTTTACGTATTGAAATCTCTTTCACTTTGAATGGACTGTTCTAAATTCAACGATAGGTAAAATCCATTAATGATGTCAAAAATTCAGCAGATTTAAGATCTAAAATAATATTTTAAACAACATTTATTGTCAGGGAGGGCGATCAGCGTGTGGCGTTTGTTTACAGTAACATAAAGTCCAAGTTCAGCATGGCCGCACTTTAAAAATGTTTTTTGGCTATTTTTTTTCATTATATCTTTCAATACATAAATAAACAACATTGCATGATCACCCACCCTGTATTGTACGACTGTATGCAAGTAGCAATCTATATGCTGAATCAATTATGTGCAATATTTGTATATACATGCATTTTCATTAAAGGACCTCAACTGTCTGAAAGCCTTAACACATAAAATTTGAATTTCTTCTTTGATCAACAGGGGCATTAAAAATGTGCTATTTTTGTGCTACTCTTCTTCCGATTCGCTTTTAAATTTTGAGATATTTTTCACAATTAGAGAAATATTTCTGGAAAAACTGCATGAGCAAATAATCTATAAAACTTTGCACACTATTTCTTGGTCTAGAACTATAATATCAAATGGAAAATTAGTCTCAAAAAATTATTTCCAATCCTGACATGTCAAGAAACCTCCGTGGAGTTCCTTTAAGCAATTTATACAAGTGCTGTGAGTGTATAAAAGCATTGGCATCTTATATTAACAGCTGATGTAGATAAATTGTCAAGTTCTTTTATACAATATGAAGGAAAATATTATCATAGCAGTAATATGTATTATAATATATATAAAGGGCACAAAAATAGCACATTTTTAATGCCCCTGTTGATCAAAGAAAAAATTCAAATTTTAAGTTTTTAGGTTTTAGGCAGTTGAGTTCCTTTAATGAAAATATGTATGTATATGAAGATTTTATTAGTTTTCATGAAAATGATAGAATTATGAGCGATTTTTTTATCTTATCTTAGCACATAATATATATTGAGAATGACACTCAAAATGGCCGCCAGTGGAGGTAATAATTGCAGAAAATAACTAAACTGAACATTACAATATCATTACAACACAAGTCAGGGGAGACAATAAAAATACAAATATATTTAGCACACCTTTTCAAAAACTTCAAATCTAAACTTGATATTGTTCTCTTCCTGTAACTCGACTGGCACATTATCTGGACTGAAAACAAAAATAAAAAAATACAAGTTTTTAAAATGTATAAAGTCATACAAAGTCTGCCCTGTAACAAACCCAAAACAAAAATACATGTTTGAATTTAAAAATAAATTTGGTACTAAATCGCTTTACAAGCAAATGGTGCATGCACAACATAATTGCTAAACTGATAATACCCTACTGAAAACATTGTTCAGGAATATTTTATTCTGTTTAGGTACAATATCAATGTGTATTACATAACAGAGACATTATGTGCTACAACATTTTTCGTGACATAAGTAATGGCATCAATATTATTTTACTACCGATACATTATATCAAAATTATTTCATAAGATAAAGCTTTGTGTCCTTTGAAGCTGCATGCCTCCAGATGAGTGAAAATATTTCAATAAAATCAAACTTGAGAAATATGTACTAAGATTTTAGGAAAAGTATAATGATTCAAGATTCAAGTAATATTTTACATGTTATGTGCAGTTAATGACTGATTTTTCGGTATTTACAAGTATATTTCTACTGCGTTACTAACACAGTAAGGGCTATTCATACATATTTTGAACACTCTTTGGTAATTTACGTGGTTGTAAGTAAAGTGCCATTGATAATGTGTAAATTGCTTCCTTTTGGTTATTTCACAATATCATACATTCAAATACATTTTCAAAATTTTCATGAAAATTAGCATGAATCTAGAGGCGTGCTGCTTTAAACTTAAATTCAACAAGACCATGGAAAAGTCTAAACCTTCCAGAACCCAGAGTGATCAGTCATTTCAATAAATACTCAATAATTTACATGTAATATACAACAAGAGCTGTCGGTAGGACAGCAACGCTCGACTATTCTTAGTGCTTGATAGTAAAAAAAATGCTTGATACAGTTACCTCCTCCTGTTTACAGGTTGGGGTCATAATGGTGAACAAGTGTGCAGAGTTTCAAAGCCATATGTCAATGGACTTTGAAAATATTTGAACTATTACAAAAACTTTAACGTAAATTCTAAGTTGAAAAAGGGGCATAATTCTGTCAAAATGCTTGATAGAGTTACCTCCTCCTGTTTACAGGTTGGGGTCATGATGTTGAACAAGTGTGCAAAGTTTGAAAGCCATATGTCAATGGACTTTGAAAATATTTGAACTATTACAAAAACTTTAACGTAAATTCTAAGTCGAAAAAGGGGCATAATTCTGTCAAAATGCGTGATAGAGTTACCTCCTTCTGTCTACAGGTTGGGGTCATGATGGTGAACAAGTGTGCAAAGTTTCAAAGCCATATGACTATGGACTTTGAAAATATTTGAACTATTACAAAAACTTTAACGTAAATTCTAAGTCGAAAAAGGGGCATAATTCTGTCCAAATGCTTGATAGAGTTACCTCCTCCTGTCTACAGGTTGGGGTCATGATGGTGAACAAGTGTGCAAAGTTTCAAAGCCATATGTCAATGGACTTTGAAAATATTTGAACTATTACAAAAACTTTAACATAAGTGGTTACGCCGAAGCGGACGCAGACGCCGACGCTCGGGTGACTGCAATAGCTCTACTTATTCTTGTCGAATAGTCGAGCTAAAAATTAACATGTAAGACATTGAAATTTACATGTGATACAAGATAATTTACAGGTAAAACATACTAATTTACATGTAATAAACAATAATTTACATGTAATACACAATAATTTACATGTAAAATGCAATACTTTACATGTAAAACACAATAACTTAAATGTAAAACATAATAATTTACATGTAATACAAAATAATTTACATGTAATACACAATAATTTACATATAAACTCAATCATTTACATGTAAAACAGAATAATTTACATGTAATACATGCATTACACAACAGTTTACATGTAAAATACAATAAATTACATGTAACATATCATAATTTACGTGTAATACACACAATAATTTACATACACAATATACACAATGATGTACATGTAATAGACCATAATTTTTGATATCCACTGCACACTGATTGCCAAAATTTTGAAAATTTACAAATCATCAACATCATCAAATCTTACACATCATCTGACCATAGTTTAAAATATAAGACATCTCAGGGAATATAACTGGATACAGCAATTATATACATACTCAATAGTACCTAGTAGGGATCAATATTTTCAACTAGGATGGGAACCTCACCCAGCCACTTCAAATTTGTTACACAATACATTTTCGACATATCAGAAGCCAAATAAATCAAAGAATTTCTCTGGTTGCTAAATTATTTTTAAATACATGTACAATTATTGTAAATGTATTAATTTTGAATCTGCGTCTGAAATCAAAATTTGACCTTGTACATGACCTTGAGTGTGACCTATTCAGCCAGTATGTCATTTTTTTTACTTGTCAAACAAAAACATTGATTTTGTTCATGGCCAGGCATTTTTTCAGATTCTAAACTTAAGAAATAACTAAATGACAGAAATGGAAATTTACATAATAATCAGTATATCAAATAAATTTGATGTTTTGAACTAAAGTCAATTATCAAATTTTTTGTATCCGAACATTGATGCTGTTTTTGTTCAACTCTTATTTGTTTTGATTATAAAAACATCTTTACATTGGCTATTATGCAAAGAAAAGAAAAAGTCTACTTGAATGGCAAATTGCAAGACACAAGGAAGACAACTGTGCGGATATTTATCATGAAACTTACTCAAAGTTGTCTCCCTTTTCATTTGTACTTACTTTGCAATCTTTGTGAATTTTTCATCTGAAATTTCTGGCAGAAAAGTATCACATTCATAGTCCTTTAACACCCTTGTAAGATAAATTCTACAGGGATATGGTCCCGCCATAGCTTCCTGTAGAAACATAAGGAGCAAAAAACACAGTTTTAAAATTATGCTAGCTTACAAAATTATAAATCATTTAAACTAACTAGAGCCTGAGGTTATAATGAAATGTTCTAAGCTCGAATTTCAAATCTCTAGTATTCGATTGGTCAGAAACAAGTGCAGAATTAACATTGACCAATGAAAATCCAGAGTTTGGTAACAAAATTGGTAATTAAAATTCATAATCTTAAGGCTCATACTTCTGTCGTAATTATGTAAAAAACGGTAACCATAACACAAGTAGGACTCGAACCAACAACACTCGAGTCAAATACACCTTAAAGGCTTAACCACTTGGCCATCTGAGTCCCTCTGAATATAAAAATGCTCATCATTGAGATTCTTAAATAAATCACTCAAAACATTTATTCGCTTCAAATTACAATAAAGCAAAAAGAACATAATCATGATTATTTAAATATATTCTGAATTGACATTTTTTCCCCCAAAAAACAGATTTGTAAAACACATGAGTTTTACATAATGGTCATATTCAAAGTACAACAAGCACAGTATGCAAATATAAGACCTTACTATTTGATATCACAGACCTAAAGTAGAAAACCGATTTTAATACCTTATACACAGAGCTCCCCCCAATGATATGTATATTTTCCACAAGGTCAGATAACTCTGTTTCTACCAGAGACAAAGCCTCCGTTAAACTTCTAGCTATATGAACACCAGTTGGTACCTCCCTGAAAATATAGTTCACGTATTTTTGTAGCAGATAGTGGATTTCTGATGATACTTGTTTATATTCAAAAGTTTGAACATATTTTAGGTTATACAATGTTATAGCATTGGATAAGTAACCACCTATAACCCTCAGTTACCAATTCTAATGTAACGCAGTCATGTGGTTCAAAGACTCCAAAAATTGCAGAACAGATGTCCTGTCAAGAATTGGGGCTGAAAAGTTAGTGTTAACCCCTGGCAAATTACTAACAACTTGTCCATCAGTAGTGATTATAAGGCAAATGACCATTAGGGACATTTTTGTTTGTTCGTTTTGGGTTTTACGTCACATCGACACAGTATAGGTCATATCGCGACGTTCCAGCTTTACTGGTGGAGGAAGACCTCAGGTGCCCTTCCATGCATTATTTCAGGCACGAACGGGCACCTGAGTTGAACCACTGACGTTCCGTAAGCTAGCTGGATAGCTTCCTCACATAAAAGAATCCAGAGTCCCTCTTGGGATTCGAACCCATAACGGTGAGGGGCAAGTGGTTTGAAGTCAACGACCTTAACCACTCGGCCACGAACGCCCCTCATTAGACGCATTATACAAGATAAAATGTCATAGAGAAATTGCATTTCACCACCAGGCTTGAACCAGCAGTCTCTGTATCACAAAATGGTTGCTCGAAAATATCAGTAATTCTATTTTCACTTCAGTAATTCTTATTTTCGCATAGATGATAGTAATTACCCATTTCCTGCTGAATTACTTAAATGGACAAGTCCCAAATTCCACTTGTGGAACTGTTTGTCATCAATCATCAATGTTTGTTAGATGGATGGTGAACATTCAAATTTTGACTTTTCTTTATCATACTTTCGACTTTTCATCAACGTACATTGTAGTTTTGACTTTTCACCATCATACTTTCAAGATTTATATGTTATAGACCATGCTCATGGTGTTATGTATTTTTTTTTTTTGGATTACACAGAGTCAATTAACATAAAGAAAGTTTGTTTTGTTTTGCTTTTTATTTCTCACTGACTAAAACCTGAACATAAGAGTTCAAGCTAGCCATAAAATATGAAAAGAAGTGACTTTTCTATTTACACAAAATGGAAAAATATTTTCACAAGATAAGAAGAAAAAAGATTTGAGAGAAATGATATTCAAAATCGTGCATGGATATTGTACTGAATGCGATATTGTATTGAATGGTAAATATTGATGACACATAGATATTGAAATATTCAATGACAGCCCTAAGCAATATTAGATTTTAGTTACCTAATCATATTATGATTTTACTGTTTGTTTATTTTGAGGCAGTGGTTTTACCTTATGCTATGAATAGTACTTACTTTAGTTCTCTACTAAGGACTATGTTAATACGTCCTTTCAAAGGCCGAAATTTTTCAGGTATAGAAAACCATGTTTTTCTCCCCATTATGACAGCATTCTGTTTATCTGAAAAAATTAAAGTGTATAAAGCTATACATGTATATTTGAAGTTTTTGGATTGCAAAAATATTCAAATTTTCATGATTAAAGGGTTAAGTATAGGTTAGAGTGCATATTGGGTGTTCTTCGTAAATAAGAAAGCTAAAAAGGAGCGGAGCTTGCGAAGCGACTGTAGCTTTCTTATTTACGAAGAACATCCAATATGCACTCTAACCAGCTTAGTGCTCCGCCCACTTGCGTTTTATAATATAAAACATCCAGTTTATATAAAATCTGTTCTATTAAGATTTGTAACCTGAAAATTTGAAAAATCCTTGTCGGTGATTGGCTTAAAAAAATTGGCGAGCACTTACTAGTGTTTCAATAAGCAGAGTTATAGCTTCAAACACAATCGAACTAAAATAAATTTGTTTAAACTAAAGGGTTAACCAGAATGCCTCCAAATTCATGCTAATTTTCATAAAAAATTTGTTTGTTTGTTTGTTTGTTTGTTTCATTTTACGCCTTTTCCCAACAAAAAAAAAACATATCTAGAAGTAAAATTTTGTGAAGTGAACAGAGGAAGTAATTTACAAAATGCAATTGGCACTTAAAATATGATTAAATTACCAAAAAGAAGTCAAAATGTTCAAAAGTTAAGTCCTTACTGCAGTAAGTCACCCAGTACAAATATGGTGATGAATACTGCAAAATCACTCATTAATCACTTATAACTTGTAAATCATTACTTGAATCTTCATTATTTTTACTTTTCTTAAATTTTTAGTACACTTTTCTCAAGTTTGATTTTCTTGAAATATTTTGGCTCATTTGTAGGCATGCAGCTTTAATATTTTTTTTATTCTGGGCACATGGAATTTCTATTAGTGTCTTCTATGTATTTCTAATGTGTATTTTACACAAGTTCAAACTAATAATTCAATATAATTGAATATACCTGACTACAATTTTTATACATTTTAAACATTTTGTTCTCATTTAATTGACTGTAAATCATTAACTTTCAAACAGATTGTAAGACTTACAAAATGTAATATATATTCACTTTTATTATACATAAACTGGAATTTATTGCTGCACTAAATTATTTCACTTTAAATAATGTTACGCTATAGTTAATATTGCACTGAACAAAACAAGCAGCGATATTGCGTTGAGACTTAAAATTTGTGGAATAACGTATCCGTGAAGTCCATGAAAATAAATGCCCCACAAATAATGATGGTTGTACAGTAGTAAAGTCATATGATATTATAATTTAGTCATATGACAACCTCGTAAAAAATATACATGTCTAAAATGCTTGCATAACACTACAATATACATGCATGTACAGTAACACAGTAACAATAAAATTGTGAATCCCATAAATATTTTGTATAAGACCTAGCCGATTATTGTTAATCAAGTTACAGTAAAGACTTTTAGGAAAAGAAAAAGAAATTATAATAACTTCAGGACATGAAAAACACATGCTCTTACCAGGATTTATTGTATCTGATGTCATCTTTTTGAAAAATTCCATATCTTTCCTGAAAAATAACAAAATGTAGCAAAATATACCCAAATTATAGAATTTCTAAGAATAAATATATTCATTCACCATATTTCATCAAAATAGACATTATAAAAACATTTTTACCAGTAACAAAATTATATATTCAAATCCTGTACTGTTTGGTCACACTTAGTGTTAATTTACATAAATCATGACACATAAACAAATGAGCATGTAAAAATTTATACATGTAACATCGCGAAATCATGTAAAAATTATATGTAAATCACATATTTTACATAAATGATAAAAAATTAAAAAGTGAATTACTTCAAACAGCAAGAAATTTCCATTTAACCCAAATTCCCTTTTTATTACACGCTGCCAAAAACCAAATGAAGCTTTTTAAAGCATATTTGATTTCCAAATTTTTTCCCCCCAACGAACAAAAAAAAAATTTTCAAAGGGGCCTGGGAAAAATGTAAAAGCGGGTTTTTACCGGGACTTTTTCCCTCTTTATTTGGAAAGTTGATTACAAAAAATAGCTAATTTCGCTAAAAACTTTGAAATAAAAGCTAAATTTTAAAAAAGTTATTTGACAAATGCATGTACTATAAATCCACGTAATTAATTAATAACGTAATTCAAGTACGTGATAAAAATATACAAATTTAACTAATATATTTCATATCTGGAAAGTAATATATGCATTTAATTAATGCTACTACTAGTTATAATTATTAAAGCATTCATTAATTAATTTAAAGCAGAAAATAAAGAAAATGCAAGAAGATGACAATTAAAACAAAAATAAGCATGATGTGTACATGTGCATATTGTAAGGGGGGGGGGGGGCTAACCGCTCAAATGTAATCCAATACTGTATACTATACAGTTACAATTAAATTTTCAGGTTTATACTATATTATATAGTATAAACCTGAAAATTTAATTGTAGTAAAGAATCACAAACGTAGCAACAGGGAGAATTGTGTACTAGTTAACTTCTAGAGTATAATACATTACTAAATATTTTTCACTTACAATTAATGATATTAAGTTAACTGAAATTAGCACATAAAGTAAAAACTGCATGAAAAGAAAAAAAAATAGATTAAACACTTAGAGGATAACGAACCAGACGGGCAAATATTAACTAAAAAGAAATTCCATGCACACTCGTAGCGATTTGAAAAAAAGAGGTTTTAATTAAAGACAAACAAATAAACTGAAACAGCAAGGACAAATAAGCATACAAAACTATACAAAAATCTGAAAAAAGTGATTCCTCTGACGCATTAAGAAACAAAAAATAATATTAAATTTCGGACCCGGTTTGATTGAGTCTGAACATGAGGGGTAATTAAAAAGTGCAACATCCCACAGGACCAAGCACCGGCTTGAGCGGTAATTTTCAACACTTAACGTGCTCACTGCTGGCATTAGTAGTCCCGAAGGATCAGAAAAATATAACAACTCCGAAGTGAATTACGGGGCAACTAGTACAGCTGCCACAGTCACGGCACTTAACGCATAGAAGTATAAAAATCTTGAAAAAGTTTACAGGGAAAATAATATACAACATTTAAAACAAAGCTAAAAGAGGAGAAAAAAAACATCAACATTCAAGAGAATAAGACATTAGATTAAAGACACATAGCACATTTACATATTTGGTCACTCTAGGTCTGAATTCGTCTCCTAAACTCTTTGTAATTTTCAACATTGCGAATGATATCTGGGAGGATGCTGAAGATCTGTGCGCCCTCAAACCTAAAATAATTGTTTTACCATATGATACTGTTCCAACCATTGGTGTATCTACACTTTTGGACACCTAAAAGAATACTTGGAATTTTTAAATTGAACTAAATTATTTACTATGATGATGACTTTTCATAGCAACTCCTTCGAGAACTTAAAAGATGAGAACACTGAAGACAAACCAGGTAAGTCGACGTTTATAGAACACAGCCACACCAGTGCACCCAGAAAGGACTTCTTTGGTTATAGGCTTGATTTTTGATAAAAGTAAAATATATTGTAGGCCTATTTACTTTTTCTCAAGGAATTTTACACATTCTTCACAATCTATTATGACATTATTAATTTGGAATTGTTTTAAGTGTTTATTTGTAGTTTTCCCAAGAGCTATAGCTTGAAACTTGTCACGGTTAGCTTGCAGTTGGTTAATGTTGTTCAAATTAAAAGGTATATCGCTTCAATTTTATATTTTCCAGCATCATCTGCGTAACTGCAAGGGGTTGACTTATCTATAAAGTATAGAATATCATTCTTACAAAAGTTAAAAATCAAAGGCCCAAGATCAAAGCCTTGAGGCACATCCTTAATTGTTTCAAGCCATTTGCTATCACCATATTCTCCTATTTTTGTTTACTGTTAGAAAGATATTTTGAAACTAGGGTATGGGAATTGTCAGACAACCAATATGTCCTTTGCTTTTTAAGATCATCCGGTATACAGTCAAAAGCCTTGGACAGGGACATTAGGATTGTTGCCTAGCGCCATCTTCTAGTCCTCAACCACACGCATAGCCCGGTCTGAAAGCGAATAGAAAATTATAAAATACATGTTCAATTATGCAAATTTTCAAAATGGTCATTTAACTGTTCATTTCTTTCTCCAAAAGTTTTGAAATTGATGATAAAATACTAATACAAGGATCATCTTTCTTAAAAACTGGAGTGACTTGAGCCAATTTCTTTAAATAAATTTGTGTAGATCATATAATTTACTTCATTGGATATAGGTTTGCATGGTGAGTATTTTAGTTTTTTGTTGGTATATTTTCATATTCTGTTGCTTTCTTTGGGATTACTGATTTTAGATGCTTCTTAAGAGACTCATGTCTCACAGCTGAAATAGATAAAAGTCTGTATACCACTATTGTTTTGCTCATATATTTAATACTTGGATGTTCATTTTGATTACCAATCTGATTATTTATCCGAATATTTTGGCTATATTTACATAAAAGTCAATTAACATTTCACATACTCTAAATTGATCAGCTATCGCGTTGACTCATTTTCCTTGAAAATAATGTAACTAGAGCTTTTAATTTATAATGGATTTTTGGCTAAAAATGGTTTGATGATTGGCCAGAAACCTTTAGACTTATGGCCTCCGTTACACCTTTCCATGAAATACATTGTAGGCGGTAATAGATTTCCGTTTTACTTTAATTTTGTTTTGAAATTTCTGAATAGCCTTAAATTATTTCCTATACTTTTCCATTTTTTTTGCTTGCTTTATGTTTCAGATATGTTATGCATGTGCATGTTTGGTAAATTATTTTTCTGAATTTGGAGTTGATGACTTTTTAGGATATTTTATAGGAACATGCTCACCAAAATTTTCAGTAAAAAGTTTATTTACCGCTCAGTAGGTGTCATCTACATCATCAAAAATAACTTATTTTGGAATGGTATTTGGATTGTTACATGTTTTTCCTGCATTAATAATTCTGAAAGCAACATTTTGAACTTAGAACTTTGGGCAATATCATTGCCTAGTAAGAAGAGTGATTTCAAAACCATGAATGAAATCTTTGATACTTGGAATTAGAATCGGAGTTAGGCCCTTTTTCACAATAAGATCACACGTAAACGAATTCGAATATATGAACTATCTAGCTATGTATTGTTATGAAAATATATGTGTTACCCCTTTATATACTATGAATATTTTACAGGCAAATAAATTTCAAAACCAGCACAGCCTGTTTTATTATTCATATATTAGATATGTTCGCTAAAGCGACCAGTTCGACGAAACCACTTTCATCCAATTCAAACACATAAAATTGTTATAATATTTTTTCCTTATAAAACACCAATTTCAAATAATTACATCCGTTTTTTGATATATGATAATCAATGCAATCAATATAGCGCAAAAATGATGGTGGAGATATCGATTACATGTATTTCATTCTGTGCGAAAGTTTTAACTATCAGGGCTCTATATTTGTTAGTGCCCCGCGAAAAAAAACACAGAAACGGTTCGTTTTGTGACGGTCATTATCGATGCTTAGCGCGTGCAGACGCTTTTATGAAAAAATAATTTATACAATATTTTTTATATCTTTTAAACATGTTAATTGGCATCGAATGATAAATTCATTAATTCAATAGCATAATATGATTGGCAAAAACTAACTGGCGTTCTTTAAATAATTCAATAATCATGAAACTGAAAATAATTAACTTTCATTGTTCTAAGCGATATACTTTCACTAGAAACCACTAACAAACTAATTAAGTGACTGAGATAATTATCCAATTCCGTGTGAATACCAAATATAATTGAATCGGTATGCAGACTTTTTGTAGGGGAAATATAGCCTGTCAATAACTTGTGATTTAATTGCTGATAGAGAAGGTAAATAATCCGCAGATACGCTAATCAGATGTGAATTTCTCTTCTACAATTGTAAATTCGCACTCGAGTGATTTCGACCCATTCATAGTTTTGAATGTTAGTAACGTATAGAAGCATTTAACGTAGTAAAATGTGTGTGTTTGAATTGAATAAATACAAGACGCACTAGTTAATATCCTCATTTTCCCCAGACAACAAGAGTTAATACCCATATTTTTCCTGTTTTAGAATAATTTACTTATATGAAATTAGTCGAAGCCTATGAATGGGGAAGTCGTTAAACAAATATTTTCATTTTTCCGCTGTCATTTGGTATTTCATGCACCGCTTCCGTTTTCACTTGGAACGCTCAACTAATTATTGTTAATCTGAGTTGAGATTCATTTCTTTATCAGAATACCCTGCTAATTATCATTGAGTTATATTGTAAATGGCAGCGCCCAACTTGAACTGACACTGAAAACTTCATTGATAGTTATAGAAGTCTATATATTCTTATAATTGTTTTTTATTTGATTTTCTTTTAAATATACATGTGTAGTCTATAGCCGGGCAAGCTAAAGCTAGTCCGGCCGGGGCTTTGACTTCCCCATATAATATAAACAACACAAGTAAATTCTTTCATAATGTTT